CAATCAGATAATATATCACTTATATTCTTCAAGGCACATTGTTCATTTACAAAATGAGACATTGTTTATTGATCAGGGCCCCGGTTTCATAAAACTTGTTACCAAGAACAACTGCCACAGATCTATGACAAGTCTGTTAATAACCAATCAACTGTGAGGATTTCAGTAGCTTATAACAGTCACCGTACCTAGTTATTGACAACATGTTTTGTGAAACAGGGCCCTATAGTTAACCTGTTTATTATTAGCAGCATATCTTAATCCAGCATCATCTTTCTACGCAACTGTTAACAAGGAATCCTGTTTTCTTTCCACCTAGGGTGTCACTTTCAGCTACATCCATAGGTACAGGGACATTCCTTTACCATTAAGAAATCAATAGTGTTACAGGAAAATGAATATTCATGAAGTGATAGGAAAGTGTTCTCGAGGGTATTGTTTGCCATTAGTGGTTCCATTGTAGACATTTTAATGGTAACTTTATATTTTCGAACCTACAGTCTTATCCTATTAGCTGTGTGTGTAAAATTCACTTTGACATTAAACAAGAGCATCAAAAATAAACTGAGATACATGTACTTGTAGGGACATGAGCGTACAGGGTGGGGGCTACCACTCCCCCCCCCCCAAAAAAAAAAGAAAAAAAGAAAAAAAAAAAAAAAGAATGACAATCAAGTAAACAAACATAACAGAAATTACCCATATTCCGGCACTTTTGGATGACAAAACACTTACCAGTACAACACATTTTAACTTATGAAAGAAGTAACAACCATGTGGATCTGTTTGCATTCTTTTGTGTTGATTGATATGCCCTAACAGGACTTAAAATATTTATTTTAAAAAAATATTTAAAAAATGGGAGCTACAGGTAACAAAGTAATACATGTATGTCTTCAAAATATATTATGAATTTTTCATTTTATAGGGCAGAATTGTCACGAGTATCCCTCAAAATAAGTAATGTTTTGTCATATTTGGCGTTCAGTATACATGTACACCATGCAGTACAGGTACAATATATACAAACATATATAAAATATACATACAAGCAATAGCTTTTTACAATGAAACAAGGGCCTGGATTTACCATTTCAAAAAGAGAAATCAAACTGCTATCAGCGCAGGTTAGTTATATTACATGTACATAAAAGTTATGTACATGCAGAAATTGACATATGGTGTGGAACTGTGGGTGCATGTGAATGAAATTGACAAACAGCAACTACTAATAGAAGATTTATTAAGCAAGTGAATGAACAGAAACGGGAGACTTGACACTTAAAACAGCTTGTTTGCGTTGACATTTAGCACTCCTATGAAATCTGTGGTATGCGATTGCTGAGGGAGTGTTCTGTGTATCGTGACGTCATTTGCTTTTAAAGTTGGTACATTCAAAACTTTATACATATGAAGAACATTATCTAAAGAAACAAATAGGAAAGGAAGGCAAATTTAGAGCATGGGAGGGGGGGAGAGAGAGAGATACAGAGAGAGAAAGAGAAGGAATAAAGAAAGGAAAGAGAATGCAAGATGGGAGAAAGGAAAGAAAGGAGTGGGAGAGAGAGAGAGAGAGAGAGAGGCAAACATTTTCTATGCATAACAATGCAATCAAATTAATCTTGTCCCTAATGTATTCAAATCAGTAGATCTTCTGCTAATCAAATAGTGAGATACTTGACTAAATCTTTCAAATGATAATTGAATTTCAAATGTACTTTAAATGCATCAATATCCAATTAGGCAGACACACCTTCAATAAGCTTTACAGCTAGTCGAAAACATACATGGCTTGAAAAACATGAACCAAAATGTCAGAATAGTACGTTTTCAGATTACACTTTGAAAAGTTTTTGAACTGTTCTTGAGTTTACACAAGGTATGTGGATCTAGATAAGATCACAATACTCTGATTGTGAGCAACGTTACATTACACACACCACTTCAAGCATTAAATACAAAATCTAGCAACAAACGCATGTGCTGTCTTGTACTAAACAGCTAAGAGGAAAAATATATAACAGATCAATTGTCCTTCAGATACAATAGAAATGAGACACCATACTCACAAAGCAGAGTTTAATAAGTGGAGAAAATCACAATGAATAATAGGCCTTTAACAAGGATTAGGTTAAACTACTGGCATACAGCTCCAGTAATTATGCTATTGTAGCCGATGGTAGCATTAGACACAAAGCTCTCAACGATGCTAACCTCCAAAATAAATGCAGTTCTTGTATTAGTGCTGCAATAGCTTCTCAGAAAGGACATAAAATTCACACATGCCTAATGATAAATGTGCAGTAACACTGTTGAGAACAACAGATTTTCTCCAAAGTGGGCAAAGTGAGCTTTTAATGCGGAAGATAATTGCAGCATGTTTCACCAGCACATTGAGCTAACCAACATAATTTTTCTACTACCTAGTACCTACATGTACAAGATGAAACAGGTCAAACATTAAATACTATAAATTAAATGTATCACTCTTCTTAAGTTATTATATTTTGTATAAACTGGAATGATTATTTACAATGTAAAATCCCAAACCACTCCAAGGTTTCAAATATATCTACTTTTGTTAATCATTAATAGCTAAAATATATATAATATATGATGAAATGGGGAAAAAGATTATTTGCAGGTAAACAAATGTACATGTACATCATCATGTCAAAACCCGGGCAAAGGTAAAGAATATTAATCATTGATCTTATATAAAAGCCTAGATATGCATGTACAGTGGAAAGTGGTTATAACGAGGCCCTTGGGACCAAGGAAATTGCCTTGTTGCATCAGAGCCCTTTATACTGACAATCCACTGTACTAAATAAAACGTTTGTGAAACGTCTGCACGATGTAGAGCCATTAACACTTTTCCTGTTCACAGGACAATCTGTTAACCAACCGACAAACAACGTCATTAAACGCTGCAATGCAATTACGACAGGTGTGAGGATAATTACCTGGGTGTCTGTTATGGAAATTGAAGTGTAAAGTACTTTTCACATCCTCTGCAAAATGCAGTTAACAACTAAATCATTCTTAGTCCTTACCAAGTTTTGTAAAAACAGGTTAAGTATGTGGACGATCGATTTATTTCTGATCTATGTTTCTTGAGAATGCGGCATACATGTATAAAAGTATTCAACAAAGGCCCGAATTCAACCAATTTACCTGTTATACTTGACTAAATAATTTAGTTGTTAACTGTCTGTCAGGATAGGAGGTTTCACAGTCAAACAAGAACTGCAGCATTCACAGGTTTCTTTGATTGGATTAGTAGTACTAATGTAATATTTGTACAAAATGGAGCAGTTACATACGGCGTACAAAACTTGTAATGTAAAACAAGCACATACAATGTAGATCACTATCTGTAGAATGCTTTTAAACATGATTTATTACTTGGGAATGTATATACATGTAAATACAAATAAAACATTTGGCCAAGTAAAATTAATTCCTAGTTTCTTGCTAGGGTATTTTTTAATATGACGACAGGGTTCTACTTATAACTTATTTGGTATTTAATGTTTTTAATTCAAATGCACTCTATGCTATGAGATATGGGGTTAGTACTTTCAAGTTTCAACACAGGTTTGAAATTAACACAAATATCCTTGCTACAAAGCATTTGTCCACGCATAGGTTAAAAATATGTTGACATAATTTCATTGATTCAATGACTTTTGTTGTAAATTCCTTTGTCTAGATTTCCCCTGAAGACTCTTTTCTTATCATGGCCCAACAATGAAATGAAAATGAGTAGGTTGGAGGAAAATGAGAAACTAGGAATTAATCTAATTTTGCCTCAAGCACGTATCTTAATACAAAATGGTTATGTCAACAAGGCCATGAATAGTGCCATAAAGCCTGTGCAAAATATAAAAGTATGAAAATACTGTGCTGACTTTTCAGAGGTTATATAAAGTACAATTTGTCAAGTCTAGTACATCTATAAAGATAGGGATCATGCTCTATGGACAAGTGACGCATACAGACCTGTACACAATGCCATTAACTTACTTACTCAAATGTGCCGGAAGTAAGAGAACAAAGCATTGATTTAGTGAGACTTTGGGACATTTCTGTGACACTAACTGACTGGTGACTACCAATACAAAACTCACATTTTTGCCCTTTCTATGTGAAAATGAGAAAGAAATCATCCAATTAGAGTAAGAAAGGCATTGACTACATGTACATGTATGTGTAAAAATATATGAGTTAACACCCTTCAAGCTATCAACAGACGAAAGTGTCATAAAAACATATTCATATCCTCTCTTCTTTATTGTCACTGTTGTCACATACCCAAAGGTGAAAATGATAGACATAGAGAATCTCATCGTCACATATCAGATGAGTCAGACAGTTCATATTAAACCCTTATTGTATTTCACATGCATTGATGATTGTACATTCATGACTGGTGCGAGATAAATGAGTTCTATTTCTCACTCTAACAAGAACAGAGTTAAATTACGTGCTATTCGTGATTCATAGTATGTGGAAAGTATGACACATGCACAGGTACACACGCACTTGTATGTTTGTATTTAAGGAGATATGAATTTAGTCTAAATTTATAACTCCGTCTCCTTGGTTTGTCTATCAAATTTGAGGTTTTTCCAACGAACACGGAAAGAGAATGAAAGAATGAATGAATTCCATTTCTCACTCCAACAAGAACCTATTCGTGATTCATAGTATGTGAAAGTATGACACATGGGCAGGAATACACACATGTACTTGTATGTTTGTCTATATAAGGAGTAATAATTTCATATATTCAGAACTCCTTGGTTTGTCTACCGGTATCAAATTTGAGGTTTTTCCATGAAAATGGCAAAAGAATGTGAATTGTGAATAATGCTTTTCATTGTTTGCTAATCCCTTACTGTATGCACATACACTGTATTCAAAAGGAAACAAAATTTGAATCCCTTTATAACCACATCCATGTATAACCACATGTGCATGTATGCATCTTTTCTTGACATTCTTAACGCATGACATTGTTACAACTTACGGTGACAGTGACAGTGACAGCTACTAACGTACATATTGTAGTAGATGACAGTTAGATGTATGTGTATTGTGTACCAGTAAAGGGACTTAAAGCAACAAGAAAGCCATTACATGAACATTTAACATTTTTCGCCTTTTCTTGATATTGTTCGTCAAAATTCCAACACCATGTTCATGTACATTATTAGTGAGCACAACAATAAATTGTCTGCAATAAAAGCTTTCTGTTCGCAACATCATTGCAGGCACTCTGTGACATGAAACTGTAGTCAACTGATCATTTGGCTGTAACACATTCACAGCAGCTACATGTACATGTACCTACATGTATGTATAAACTAGCTGCTGTAAAATTGTACACAAAAGTGCTCTCCAGAAGAGCAACATTAACAAAAAGGCCATATATTCTTGAGTCATATTTACATAGCATAAAACCTGCATCCAGGTAAATATAGTCACAAGTCCACAACGGTCACTCAAAATGATGATTATGGATTACAAATATGTTTGACTTCGATAACAGCACTGACCTGACGCTAAACACTGACGCAGATCCAAACAGTGTCTTTCCATAAGAGTTTTGATCTGATCATAAATGTCTGATGAAAGTGAAGGTATTATCAGGGTCACTTAAAAGTTTTCCTTATCTGGAACGGGCTGGTACCTCCCTACGGTCTGGACGGTGTATTGGTTCCCCTTTGCCAATGTCCGCCTTACCCCCGTCTTCTGGTAGGCGACGCCCATCCTTTGGGTGGCGGTGCTTCCTTGCTGGCGGAGGTTCACCCGGCGGGCGGGGTCGGGGGAGTCTTCGAGGAGATTCCTGGTAGAGAGGGGCGATCGTTGGCTGGTGGAGGTGAACTTTTCCTTGAGGGAACGACGGATGCTGTGTTTCTTGGCTTTGGAAGATGATGATGATGGTGGTGCCTCGGCTAGGAAGATCATTTCTGGAAGATAAAAGGGGGCAGACTTAATCAAGTATGGTAGAGAAAATAAAAACACCCATCTATAAAAATTTCTTTATTCCTGTATGATATGGATGACAGTATCACATTTATTTTGAAAAAATGTAAACAAAATAGTAAGCCTACAGTAGAAAGTACATGTAGAATGAGTACCGGTAGATTAAAGGTAATACAAAGTTTTGGGAAATTTTGAAAATTGGCTGGATAATGATTCTTTACAATTTTGATGTATTTGGATGCTTATGTGAATGTATTATAAGCACTAGAAAATTTAGCCCCTAAAACACTTCTGCTTTCGAGAAAAATAGAATATCAAAATTTACCGGTGCTCCCGGTAAATTTTGATGAATTTCAAATAGCGCCTACGGCCTTACAATGCTAGCTGCGACCATGCAAATATCAGAATATGTAGTTGTCATATGCAATTTCCAAACGGGAATAGCCAATCGGTCGATATACATGTAGTCAAGAAACATTGTTTTTTAGGATTAATATTTTGACCTGAGAGGGAGCTACATGTATACAACATAAAGAGTTAATTTTTTACAATTTCATCACTAAGAACTCAATTCCAACCGTGACAATGATCACTGGATATATTGTAGGATCGCATATCCTTCCAATATGTTCATTTGAACCAAATTCATGAACCCATACCAAAACTTTGTATTACCTTTAAATGATACAAAAGGAAACATTTTAAGGGTTAGTTAATATCTTGATGTTGTGAATTCAACAGAAGGGAATTCTATGACTGTAAGGTATTTTGTTCATATCATACCAAGTTACCAACCATATTTACAGATGCGGATGTGGGTTGTAAACATATCATGTATCATCTGGTCAGAACGATAAGAGTGTGTTTATATTTATAAGCACATGTTATGCAAGTCATATTGTTTAACTTTCAGTTGCAATGTACATTGAAGTACTAATATTGTCATGTGTTAATGAATGGCAAGTAGTTTGTAGCAGGCGGATTGGGAGGGGGGGGGGGGGGGGGCTGCCTGCAGTATAGTACAATACATGTATATGTATGCATATTTGTTTTCTTACCATGTACATGTACACTGAACAGGTTAACATGTCACACACACTCCTGCCTTTACAATGACGTTTCATGTTGCCATACTTTTTCGTTGAAGGACAGTGTCATTGCTTATGCACAGTTCACACCGACGCCGAATGTCGCGCTTTAAATCGGCGATCAATTCAGCGTCATTTTTTATTACTTTTCAAAAAATCTCTCGATCTCCTCAGATATGTTATGCTCTGATAAGCGTGTCAATTGGTGACAGAGCGTACAAAGTGGGGTCACCGCTTTGAACCAAGCTCTGTTAAACTCTGTTAAGCTTTCCTACGCTTTGAGCAAAACTTTGATAAGCTTTGTGACGCTTTGATAAGCTTTAATACGCTCTCCCCGCCTTACGCAATTCGTGACAGATCGCCTCAAATTTTTAAACAGTTTAAACATTTTTGGCGCTCTTGCCGAATGTCCCAAATTGCTCAAAGCTTTCTCACGCTCTATTACGGTCTTTACGCCTTAATTAAGCTTTGTTAAGCTTTGCCACCGCTTTGCTCGCCGATTTAATTCGCCATCAATTCGACGTCGGTGTGAACTTAGCATTAATAAAGCTTTGCATATACCCTACCAGTACATATTTCATGTTGCCATATTCCCCCCCCCCTCCCTTCTCTCTTTCTTTCTTTCTTTTAAGGCCAGTGACATTTCTTAATAATGCTTTAGAAACTATAGCCTACATTTACAGCGCACACTAAAAATAATTTCTTTTGTTGTTGGGGAATTCAAAGTAATTGCACTTGATTGTGAAAGTGAAACTTCTTCACAAAGCTCCCTTTCATTCTGAACACTTATTATAATTTTGATGCCACATTCGATCATGTGCACACCCATTTATAAAATAAAGTGTTCTATTTCTTACTGACATGGCTTGGCTTTGTTTTGTAAGTAGTTACATTAAGAAGAGTGAAAATCCCTTGGACTATTAAAAGTTGTTCCTTACTACATTTTGTATACACATTTTCCCTGATGATGTCACTGTTTTTAAAATAATCTTCTTTGACCATCCACAAACCAGGAAAACAAATGTGACTTAGGCCAAATAAAAAAAAAAAACATGTTTAGCGTCCTGTTTTTTTGAAAAATAGGAAGGAGGAGGCCCTTTTTATTTTTTTCTCTTTCCTTTCAAAATGGCCACTCAAAATGGCAGCTCGGTACATTTTCCCTGACAGTCGAGGCTATTTTTTTTCAAGATTGCCGCCGACAATTTTTTTTATTTTTTTTTTATATTAGAAATAGAGACATTTTAGCAGTGTTTTTCATGTTTTTTTTCTTTCAAAAAAAAAATTTAAAAAAAAAAAAAAATTAAAAAATTTCAACAAATTTTTTTTTTTTTTTAAATAGGAGACGGCCCCCAAAAAGGATGCGGGCGGGGACACTAAACATGAATATTTTTTCTAATGGCCTTACATGTATAATGACAAAAGTTACAACTACATGTACAGTTCATTTAGTTGCCTACAATTTACATGTACCTGTACATGTACTGTATGTATGTGGCTTGAAATTTTGAGTCCATCTAGTCAGATATACAGTGTAATACACGTACTGTACGTGTGTCCAGACTCAATACGATGACAAATTGGGGTTAACTGCTGCTCTCTTTTTCTCTCTGATTTCTAGTGCCTCATTGTTGACTATCCCATTAAACAAATGTACATGTATAAAGAGAGTAAGACACTATACTTTGCAGTACTGTACTGATCATTGTACTTTGTTAGAAGATTTCATGGTACACTGTAAAATGAAAACAACCTAGCTCTATGAAGTGAGTTGAAAGGTTCCTTGAAATAGTATTGACCCGATCTCCTTTCACTTTGTTCACTGACAGGTATTATGCAAATAGGACGGAGTTGTGGTAGTGTGGTACTTGAAGAAGTAAAGCATGCATTCCTCTCAACAATGAGTGGTCTGTGACTGTAGATACTGTACATAATAAAACCACTACCTTCTCTCTGTTTCTGAGTATGGTTTGGTATTTCAACGGAAAGAAGGTTGGGGTCAACTCAAATATTTCTCAAGAATCAATTGGACCACTGTCTAGTAGTCAGTGTAGTGTAGGGGGCAGTACAGACACTGATACCAACAAATAATGCATGATCGAACAACTGATACATGCTTGTACTAAAGCAGTACAGGGAAACAGAGTTTGAAGGAGTGTGGAAAGGGAGAGAGGGTGGAAGAAGAAGAGAAAGAAAAAGAGAGAGAAAGAGGGAGAGAAAGAAGAGAAAGAGATGGAGAAGGAGAGAGAGAAAGAGAGAGAGAGAGAGAGAGAGAGAGAGAGAGGTAGGAGGGGGAGTAAGAAAAGAGAAGAGAAAGGCAGAAATTGTCAAAGATTGGGAAAGAAAAGAGAGAGGTATATTGTACATGAACTGTACATGCAGGAAGGGAAGGAGAGCGAGAGAAAGAGAGAAAGAGAAACCCTACATACATGTAAGTAATTACATGTAGTTCATCAATCCTGCTCCAAAGATTATCTTTACAAGGAAGCAAACAGGAAACTCGAAGGAAACTTGTTGCTCATTCGTAAATGTTCTAATGATGTAGATGCAGTCATGTACTGTATATTAGTTAAATCAAAGGGCTGAGCCTTAGCTCCTGGATTGCAATCAGAATGGAAGTACAAACATGTAGCTTAAAGGTAAGGACCAGTTATGGTCATGCGATTGCATTGTGAAAGAAACGTTGTGGAATCGATCAGAAAAGGTTGATCATCTAGCATCTAGCATCTGCAAGGTTCTGGAATCATCAAAATGATAAGAAATTTGGCCCATTCTTCGTAAAGTTACAAGCACTATACACAGAAAGATGTATATGGGACTACCCTATATCTCTCACAGTCCATGAGAGACACAAATTTACCAAATATATGAATTAGTAGGCGGTTTCCCGGCAAATTTTTTATCATCATGTATTAGTCAAAACATATTCTTTCACATGATTGGTAATGAGAGCTTCTATTTAATTTTTTGAAATTGGGGTGTTTCCAATACTGGTCTTTACCTTTAAACTGCTTGGGATGTCTACCGGTACACATTACTGTCTTTTTGGTTTTTAGCATTTAGCTCCGTACAATGTAGATGAAAGCATACATTTAAACAAATTTTTCTTGAAACTGTATCAGTTTGCTCGGATTGTTCATCTGGAAATAATATAAATTCAAACTACAACACCAGACAGAGCACTATGGAAATGGACGTTTCCTGCTTGCCATCCTGTCTAGCAGAGGAACAAATTTAAGAAAAAAAAAAAAAAAAATCTACTGGTAGCTAGCAGCACGGTTTTCTCTATAAAGTAAACCAAACTCGTACCAGTAGGCATTCTTTTGTCACGCATGTTATGTTATTTTGCTTCCAATGTTTAAAACAATTTTCAAATCTTCTGTCAACAGCCATATTTCCATGATAAATAGATTCTTTGACAACCAAATGATCTACTTTAAGAGGGAATATGAATGCTGACAATTTCAATATTTTATGAAATTAAGTGAAATCTGATATCTTTGTAAATTTTGCTTACTTTGGGACCTGATTTTAAATGCAAGAAATTGGAGTAAATGAAGAACTTTAACATTTTCCAAGTTCAATTTCCAAGTTGACAGCCAAATGAAATCATTTTTAAAATGTGTGTTTGAACCCTGTATTTCTCCTTTGAAATTCTCAGATTTTTTTTTAATGATTTCCAAGTTTCCAATATAAGACCAATGCCAGTAAAAGTGGCATGAAGTGCCTGTCATAGTTAATGTAAGTCCAACTTGAAGTCGACCTTGGTCTCTGTGAAACACCCCCAGCTTCAGTTTTATAAGATATCATAGTGACAGGGGACTTTAAAGACCCACTGCACTACTTGTAGCTACTTGTGCCCTCTATGTAACAAACAATGCCTAATCGGTGACCATTGGTCCCCCATGATCCTCTTTTTCTTATGTTAACTGAGAGCTGAGTTGATGAGATAACCACCTGTCCAGTGACCTTGCAAGGCAGTCTAATCCCTCATGTAAACTACGGCAGATAAGCTTTAAATAAATCACATTGTAGTTTCACACAGCAGATTGATCATTGATCTGCGTAAATCTACTTTCTGATTGAATATTACTCCCACTTATCAGAAACCTTGCAGAAAGTCACTACTGCAGTACTGCAGTAAATGTAATCTAGGCTAAGATTATCATTTCCCTCATGTAAGCCCACACAGAAAGACATGACATGGCTTTTTGACAGATTTGTAATTAAGATCAACTCCATTCTCTTCTCTACAGATTATACTACGGTTAAACTTCCGACAGATAAATCAAGGAGTTACTAAACTCCTTGGATAAATCTACATGATGTACAGGTTATCTGGATTTCACTTTCAATTTCCTGCTGTGGATAATACTACGAGCCCAAGGCTATTTTGCAATGTACCCTACTTGCAAACAGGAAATTAAAACGCAAAAATAGGACAATACTTTAGTGTCTTCCTTCCTATGGGAATATATCTTCCAGATCAATAGCTCCCTTTGTAATTAGCGTTCGCAAGTTGTTTTTTGGTCCATATATTGTATACATGTAACAATTCATATTGCTTGAATGAATAAAACAAACAAAGTTAGGCTTGAAGTAGTCACCCAAAGAATCAAAAGTGTTTTGACTTTTGAATTAATTGAATTGATGCAAATTCATATCATTGTGAAGGGGAAGCCTAACTGATCAAATATACATGTAACAACTTCCCTCTTCAAAATATGTTCGGGACCTGCAGTACCGGTAATCATCTCTCAAAAATGTTAATCCAGATTTTCTGCCTTCAGCAGTCCTCCGTAGATCTTCAAGATTTGTGCCGTCACATGCGAGACACAGCTAGCCACAAGGCATTTTACCCCTTTCTATGAAAATGATATCTACATAGTCATGTATGATGTACATGTACATGTACATGTATATGAGTTTTCAGCAAATTATTCATGTTTTTCAAGAGAAAATCTTTCCATCCATATATAATTTGTCCATAATTTATCAGTCGTCAAGAATTTTCTTTTGGTGACTACTTTAAATGCTCGCATGTCTAGTATATTAAACATAAATGCAAAATTTGCTGTTTGCCTCTAGTCCTATTCAAGTTTTGTAGATTACTACATTGTACCTTCTACACTTTAAAAAAAGGCAAGAATTTTTTTAAAATCTTGTTTTGTTCTAACCAGACTAGTACATGTACATGTATCAGTTCAGAATTTTAACTTCACAGTTCATACTGTAAATCAAAAATAGCCACAGAAAGCTGTGTAAATAACCAATTTCAAATTTTCAACCCACACGGACACGGTACTGTGTAGGAGTGTCCAAAATATAGATTTATATTTTATGAATCATTACTCATCCTCCCACCTCTCTTGCACCTTGAAGTGTTACATTCCAATATTTGTTCAAAATGTAGGTTTCACTTTCTTTATTGATTTCTCAATCATTCAAATTCCATTAGTAATTATAATGCAAGTATACTTTCTCGCAAGCCATAGTTATAAGGCTTAACGCACATTACATTAGCTTGCATAATTACAGCTCTTACAGCATACAGTACGCATGCCTAGTCTTCAAGCACAAACCCTGGTCAGTCGTAAAAGTGAGTCTGCACTATAACTATAAGACTACCATAGGCCTTGTACTGTAGCTGCTCCCGACATTGACACAACCACTAGGTAGTTGGGCTAGACTTCTCTCAAGGCACAATGATTTTTTGATAAAGTGTCAAATTAGGGTCTGTGCTTGCAGACTAATGCATGCCTGTGAAGCAATCTAATCTGATAATCTGTTTCCATCTAGTAATCAATCAATCAGATTCCAATTTACTGGCATGTGCATCCATGGCGGGGGTATGAAGAATGGCCCGCGTTTAGCTGATAATGTAACCTGACCTCTGCTTGTCAGTGTTATTTACCGAGTACTCGCTTGTTGCAGAATGCACTTTATGGCCTAGAGCCTTCGGGGGAACAGGGTTGAAAAAGATTGAATTTCTAGACCTACTGTATCTTGACCTCCACACAGCACATATTGGAGTTTGAACTCCTAAACTAAACATAATAAATGCTCTTGAGTCTTGAAAGTAGGATTATACATGTACATGGAGTGTTTAAATTGTGGAAATAATAAATCTCTTGTATTGACTACATGTGCACTTTGGACTTTTGTGGAAAAAGCACAATACCAATCCAATTTCGCTCTTAAAGTTTTTCTGGTAATACCAAATAAGGTGCAATGTTCTGTAGCAGTACAGTACACACTGTATATGTGTCTCTGTTGGCACTTCTACTTTTCAAGTTCAAGACTTAAAAGCCAAGCTTTTCAAGTATATTTTCTAAAATTAGTCCCCTCCAACATTCATAATCACATTAACATACAGTGTATATGCAAACATTAATATAAATAATATAATCATAATTCAAAGGTCAAAGCTGCATATGTTTTTCAGCAAAGCTCTGTACTTTATAGATTTACATGATAATATTGCGAAGTAAAAACTTAAAAATCACAATTTGTTCAATCCAATTATTTTGGTAGCTCACTCAAAGATTAACTTCTTTTTTAGCGGATGATTTCATTAAAATTTGCTGATCATCTTTTTCTTTTTTTATCATCTATTTACTAAAAGGCCTATATCTTTGAAGAACCAAAGTTTAATCAAGTATCCTTTACCCCGAGGTCGTGTCTATCACAAAAAAAGTTACGCAATGGAATCTCCATCATCATAATAATAAAACGGTGCTTATAAAGCGCTTTCCACCGAAGCCTCTAACATGACATTCTGCGAGAACTGCACCATGTGTAGTATTAACTGCAACCTTTACCTTCATAATAAATGAGTATACCATGAAATAGAAAAATATAAGCATGCAAATTCATGTGTACTTGATAAGTACCTGCTAATGTATCACATCAAGAAGACGTTGACTCCTTACCCCTGTCGGACAGAACCAAAGTGGCCTGGTCCTGATCTTCTGTCTCCTCATTGGCTAGTGTCTGCTTTTCCATCATATTGGTCAGTTCCATTTCATTTTCAGGGGTGTTTGACTTTACAAGTTCACTTTTTTGTGTCTCCTCCACCACCTCAGAGCTCGAATCTTCTCCGACTAAGTTTTCCTTTTCTGAATCAATCTGGAAAATGCCCGGTTCCGAGGGCTCGATATCGGATGCGGACTTTGGGATCACATCATTGTCTTGGTTATTATTGCTGGTACTACTTTCACACGATTCGTTGGTATCTGATTGATGCACAGTGACTGTCTCGATGCTTAATTCTGCAATGAAATCAAAGAAATCATAAAGATCTAATGGTATGTAGTCGATATTTGTTTACAATCTAACTGTATGAGATGACGTACATGTATGTATACCCTGAAAAGGCAAGCAGAAATATTATACCAGTAGAGGGCAATGAACAGCACTAAGATTTAGAACAATAACCCCATCAAAAATAACGAATCCTTTTTTTTTCTTTAAAAAAAATAAAAAATGTTCAAAAACCCTTTGAGTGAACATACCGCTAGACCAACTCACATTAAAGTTCATAAATTTACGTTAGGTCTAGTGCTGTAACATCACGGATATCTCCAATTCCGTTTAACCGCCAGTCAAAACCGGGCGGTTTTCGGTTAAACGATTTAAAAAAATTAAAAAAAAATTTAAAAAAAATTTTTTTTTTTTAAAAATCATTTTTTTTTTTTTTTTTTTTTTTTTTGTTGTTGACCGAGCTGGAAGGACTTTCATTTAACTGCGAGGTGCATTTGCAGGCGCCGATTTGTGCTTGTGAATTTGTGAATAATAGCAACAATGTCGTTTTTAGAAGAATGTGTAAGAACATTAATGTTAATTAAAAACAGTAGAGGACCTAGGATAGAACCTTGTGGTACGCCTTGTAAAAGTTGGATGAATTATTATTATAAACTACATATTGAGATCTATTACAATTAAGATTACTTTCAAACCAAGATGACAGACAAATTGGAGTGGTGTTCTAGTTTCGGAGTGCTAAGTCAACACACACATTACTGAGCTGGGAGACATTGCCAGGCATAGTGCCAGGTGGAGGGGCATAAATCGAAACTTTTAAAAAAAAAAAAAAAAAAAAAAAAAAAAAAAAAAAAAAAAATTATTTAAAAAAAAAAAAAATTATTAAAAAAAAAAAAAAAAAAACGGGAAAACGAAACCGTCCAATTGAAAACGGAATCCGCCATGGGCGGTCGGATACCGGACGGTTAAACGTTTGACTACAGCACTAGTTAGGTCCACCCAAATAATGAGATTCAGCTCATGATAAACTAGCCTAATAATAAATGAAATACTTTTCTGTCAGTGAGTCTGACACTATGAAAATCAATGATAAGTAAAGAATTAAGTAATCACCTGCTGGTGCATCTTTGGTAAGAGGAGTTCTAGCCACTGTTTTTGTTGGAGACCTAGGATCATCAGAAGGTTGTGGAAAGACAAATGGTCCTGGTTCTCTCCCTGCAGTGGGTGACCTTGGGTCCGAGTCATCAGGGACAGGAGTTCTTGCAACTGCCGGAGATCGTGGATCTTGAAACTCAGAGTCTTCGTCAACAGCCCTCTGTACCGGAGTCCGCTGAACCTCTTCCGTCGGAGAGCGGGGATCTGTCAGTGTCTTGACTCTGCGGTTAGCAATGGGAGTGTGGTACTGCTCATCTTCATCTGGTTTATTATCCCCATTGATCGATTTGCTTTCGGTTCCACCCATCTTTAAACGTAGAGACCGGATTTTCGCCTGCAATGAAAGGAGACAAAAATAATGAAATAGTCCAACTTAAATGATATAGTACGTTAAGTTCTTAATTGTTATAAATGCACCATCACTTATAACAATTTAATAATACAGCAAATGTTTCTAAAGTAAAAATATATATCACAAAATAAGCATCATTGTGACTTTATACAGAAGTTCATTTAAACAGGCTGACAAATGTTGCCATTGGACAAAAAATAAACCAAACAACTCTTCTTCTTCTTAGTTGATCCCTCCACTGTTTTGGAGATTCCTGGAGTCCAAATAAAGTAAATGTGTATAATCCGACCGGTTAGGAGCTTTGGAGAGTCTTAGAACGAGAAGCATCAATTTTGTGTAGGAAAAAGAGCGATAGTAGATAACAAATTAAATACATTGAAACGACTTGGTAAATTTTTTTTTTTTTTTTTAAATCAATATTTTATTATTCAGTTGTCTTGACCATTGTCTAATTTTACATGAATAAACAGATAAATTCTTGAGTTCAGTCTATTCCGATAAAAGACTAACTTAGAGAGTAATATTTACAACAACATGATTAACAAAATGTTTTAAAAAAAGTCAAAGAAAAAAAATTAAAAGAAATTCACCTTGGCCTTGAAACCACAGCCTAAATTTGCAAAATTTGGCATATTCAAGTTTTTGCACGCAATAATGGGCAAATGTCAATAAACGGCAGAGAAAATGAGGAGACTAAATTATTGATGAAAGCCGAATGCAGACACAGTAAAGCAGGCGATTTGGATTTAGCCTTATTTCTACTTGAAAAAGAACAAACGGAGAAGTTCGTGCCGTGCGGCAGACGCGAACATACAGGCAAAGATGAATGAGATTCTGAAAACCACCGGCAGCCAAACGACAAAGAACAAATAACCAGTCTGAAATAATGTCGCCTTTCAGAACAGCATTGAGGCGCAGTTATAACATGAATTTCAACTGAACACGTGCAATCATATCTCCCACACAATATGACCAATTCATCTCAGGTATTACTCACTCAAACAAAGGCGGCTTTGTATGTCATCTACGCGATTTTCGTCATACTTTTTTTCTGTCCAGAATCGAAGCCACAACAAATACGTGACTCATACTGCGCATTACTCATCCTGCGCGCCGCGGTAGTCTTGGGCGGATCGGACATGGGGCGGCGGCGAGCAGCAGCACGTCAACAGCAGCGCAGCTCACACGCAGAAACAACAACACAAAAACTTCAAACACAACCACCGAACAATCGACTGAGAACTTTATGAGGGAAATCATTCAAAACAGTTCCAAAGCCAGCTAAGATATTCTTACTTTAAAAATTGATGCTGCAGGGCTATTTACCGATATACTGCTCCAGACGGTCTTTGCAATAATTAATCTTTATCTAGTCTAGACCCTAGTTTCAGAAAACTACACGAAACAAATTTAATTTTTCAGTTGAAAAGTACACCAACCAATCAACTGCGTGAAAAAGTGTGTATGCGTACGTCGTCCGGCCGTATATGCATATTCATAATCTCGCAAAAAGCGAGAGCTTCACTCGAGATTAATAACCAAGATGGCAGCTTCCAAATTGCACGAGTTTCTTGACAAAATCAGAATACCGGGAGCTGGAGATAAAGTGTACAAGGATGAGTGTGCATATTGTTTCGATAATCCGGTAAGCTTATATGAATCTACAAGTAACTGAGTACATTTGTATGGAAAATGGATTTACAGAGACATGATATTTTACTGACGAGTGACCTTTGTCCCCAGATTGTTCATTCATTGTTTTGAACGGCAGTGAATGAGCGGATTTGCCTGGTTGGTTTGTGCGCGGATGGTATTGTGTGTGTATTGTGGAGTGAACATTCTAGATCTAGTCTAGTTTGCTATCTCAAAAAATTGGTAAGGTTTCGAAAATCTGATATGCCCAATGGAAAGAGGAACATAAAATTATCAAAAACAGAGACAGAATATATCTGGAATCATGGGAATTGAGCGTGAAATTATGATTAGATCTAGTATACAAATATTCTACACTGCATTGTTGACTTGAGAGGATCTTCTGGTTAAAACTAACGTTAGTATGCGCTAGCCTTAAGGTAGGGAGGCCAATGCCCGGGCGTAAGGCTTCTACACCTACGATTTGTGCGCTCGTCGCCCACTTCAAAAAATTAGCAAAGGGAAAAAAATGATGTAAAAATAAAAATTGAAGAAAATATGAAAAGAAAATACAATTATACATTTCACAACATACCTATAATCACGGATCTGTAACAGTCTTTCACCATTTGTTGACAATCTTGCAGATTTTGACGTTTTTTAATCCAATAATTGTGGTTGCAGACGACCTTGACGCACTCGCACCACCGACTAAGAAAATCCTAGAGGGCGTAGAGGTTTGCTCACTAAAAACCTTCTCATTGGCAGAAGGTAGACCCTAAAAATATGGGATCCGTTTTGAGTAAAGAACTTTTGATAGAGATCAACATTTCAGATGTTCACAATTGCCACTTCTAACAACTAGAAAATATAAAGAAAAAAGATTATATCTTTTTAAATACAGATTTTTACAAACTGAACATTCGAAAGTAGATAGAGTACGATGATTCTGTCAATCTTGCGTTGGTTTGAGCCCTATAGCTACATCCATCTCAAAATGAGAAGGAAAACAGTGAACAGTGACGTCATTGTTCGCGCCAAAAATAAAGGGTATTGCGACATAATCTGAGCTCCGGTCAAATCGTGCGCAAAGCGTAGTCTTATTTATAGACCCTAGTACCTTATTCTCACAGCACTAGATACGAGTGTCGTGCAGTAATGTATGAGAAGTGTTAAAAAAGATATTTCAGTAAAAAAAAAAGTCTACATGAGCAGTCTATACTCCAATTGAGAATTGAAATGAAAGCCATGATTTGAAGGTGTGTGTTGTGTATGATACATGGTTAGTGAGTGTGTATGTTACGTATAGCGAAAGGGAGAGAGAGAGAGAGAGAGAGTGAGAGAAATATTAGTACACGTACGTTGCAGACAAGCCCTGCATGGATGTGCGCTATGATTGTGTTCGCTGCAAGATGGATTTTAATTGGACCTCGTAACTTCTCGATCGTTGATAATAAGGAATACTCATGAGGAAATCAAATTATTGGAATACACATCTAAGGTAAATATCAATGAATTATATATATTTCTTTCCTTTTTTGAACCATCGTCTTCGGCTCGTAGTAGTAGAAGATGTAATCGTTCGCACATTGATGGCTGGACTTCAGCCTGCATCGGGGCTTGCCTGTGTCGGTGGAGGGATCAACGAAGAAGAAGAAGGTGTGTACGTGTGCGACCGATTCAAGGCTAGCCGCTGTTGAGTGATTGCACTTTCGCGCGAAGTTTTAAACTTCATCATGAACTTTGTCCCTCGGGCCTGTCTAATTATGAACGTAACTTTGCGACATGAAATATAATTGTTTCAAGGCTCTTACGTACGGAAAGGCGTAGAAGGAAATGGCTACAAACCAGCTGGATATCTCCTATTTGATGGAACCTATGGAGTCGGCAGATGGGTGGATTTTCTTAGTGAAAGTAAATGCTTTCTTTTAATCTTAGTTTTAGTATAAACAAATTAGTAATTAAAAAGTTAGATTTGGGCATTGGCCTCCCTACTTAAGGGCTTCCTCGAAATGTTTTTATGATATTACTCGAGGGAGCCTTAATTTGCTCCCATAGGGTCCCAGGGAGAGGTAGGTAAACAACATCAAAAATGTGTCCAAAATCACACTTTCCCGCACCCGACCAATATTGGACAGTGGCTTTGATAAATTGTGTGGGACTTGTGATCGTAACTACACCCAGGCAGAATATCATAATCAGAGGTAAAAATAAAAAATTAAAAGCAATTTTCTTACCAGACCGATACAGCTCAGCTCCCTTATCACGTGTACCCTGTGAATCCACGATCTCTACACAATGGTTATGACCTCTGACTGGCACTTCCGTGATTGTGCTGCTTCCGTATAATGCGCTGTATGAGTGTTATTCAGCGCATTATACGGAAGCAGCACATTTACGAAGTGCCAGTCAGAGGTCATCACCATTGTGTAGAGATCGTGGATTCACACGGTACACGTGATAAGGGAGCTGAGCTGTATCGGTCTGGTAAGAAAATTGCTTTTAATTTTTTATTTTTACCTCTGATTATGATATTCTGGGTGTAGTTACGATCACAAGTCCCACACAATTTATCAAAGCCACTGTCCAATATTGGTCGGGTGCGGGAAAGTGTGATTTTGGACACATTTTTGATGTTGTTTACCTACCTCTCCGTGGGACCCTATGGGAGCAAATTAAGGCTCCCTCAAATAATATCATAAAAAACATTTTGAGGGAGCCCTTAAGGCTAGTATGCGCAAGCCCCGAAGCAAATAGTACTTTTGGAGTCACCGAGGCCCATAGTTTAACCAGTACCTTGAATAGAAGGCATGGTATATTTGTTTTATATCCTGCATCAAAAATTTAATTAAAAAAAAAAAAAAACATTTTTGGGAAAACAAAATTTATAACAAAAAAAATGTCATTTTTTATCTAAAAAGTTTTAAAATATTTTGTTTTCATTAGATTAAGATTTGAAGAAAAAAAATTGATTCAATTAAAAAACAAAAAATTACTTTTTTTTTCCAACTCCCAAATAGTAAACCAAAATAGTACTCTCATATAGACTAGTACTTTCTAAAAATATCTCAAATATTTTTGGTCATGTGACAAGCTCTCAACCAATCAAAAGCCAACAAAATTTTGATTCAGGATATAAATGAAAATATTGACAAGTCACAAGATCGGCACATTTTGCAGTCGCTGATTTGCAATTTTGTGTCTGTTCCGAAAAATTATTAACTTCCAAGTTCCTCAAAGTTGTGAATCAAAAGTGGTACCATCTGATTGTATGATATCTTGCCTTGCAAATTATGAAATTACCTCTAGGGCCAAGAACTAGACCTAGACCTATTTGTTAATGATTGCATCTTTTTTTAATCGAAATTTCTTTATTTTTTAATTATCAGCTTCTTATTAATGTTCTTTGTGTATAATAATTTTTTGCAGGAAAGTGAGACAGGCTTGTTTGTGTGTATGAACACATTTCTTGGGTTTGGAAAGGACTACGTTCGGAGGCACTATGAACGCACCAAGAACCCTGTCTATCTTCATCTCAAGACAATTAAAAAGAAAGTAAATACATTGCTTTGTTCATTTAAATTATTTCCTCTTTTTAAAATGAGAAAATCTGACTTCAACTAAGTTAAGATATTTAATATTTGAAACATGTTTTAAAAGTCTATTTTGAATTGCTAATTCTCAATATCCCTTCCAAGTAGACATATAAGTTTTGCCTGTCAAAAAAAGAAAATGTGTAAACATCTTGCCCCCCCCCCCCCTCCCTCAACGAAAAAATGAATAAAAAAATGAATTTTTGAATAAATAGATAAATATTTTTTTCTTCAATGTATGCTTTTCATGTTTTCTTCCTCAATTAGAGAGGGGGCAGCAGCTGTCTCGGCCCTCTCCCCTGTACATACTCAAAATGTAAAAGGGCCAAACATATTTTATTTTTAAGAAATGAATTTGTTCTTCAATTTCAGAAACCAAAAACAGAAGAAGAGAAAGAGAAGGAGAAGCCAACAAGACTTGCCATAGGTACAGTATGACACCTTTTTTTCTAATGTGTACAGCAAGTGTTGCGGTTTCTAAAGAAAACCATTAATAGATGAAAGTCGGGCCAGCTTTATATGGGTTTACTTGCCTTATAATAGATTTTTCAGGGCTCTTTTTAGGCTTTTGCCACTGTATGTGAAGATGATATTTTGATTGGGGCATACAATTAGTATAATGCACAAGCATATACTGGTACATTGTTATTCCTATGCAATTACTACCCCCCCCCCCCCTTCTTTCTCTTTCTCCCTTTCTCTGTTTCTCAATAACCCATTTTTTTAACCTGTCATTGTATCTGCCCTCTCCTTGCATCACATATCTCATGCTCTCTCTCTTTCTCTCTCCCTCTCTATCTCTCTCTCTCTCTCTCTCTATCTCTCTCTCTCTCTCTATCTCTTCGTCTTTCCTTTCCAGTTTGTGTCTTTTTGTCTCTTTATTTATTTCTTTGTGATTTCTTTCTCCCTCCCACTCTCACTCTCTTCCTCTCCCTCTCTTTCTCTCTCTCTGTCTTTCCTTTCTCCGTTTCTCAATAAGTAATAACCCATATGTTTCTACCTTTCATTGTATCTCCCCTCTCCTTGCATCATATATCTCATGCTCTCTCTCTCTCTCTCTTTATCTCTCTCTCTCTCTATCTCTTCGTCTTTCCTTTCCAGTTTGTGTCTTTTTGTCTTTTTATTCATTTCTTTGTGATTTCTTTCTTTCTCCCTCCCACCCCATGCTCTTTCTGTCTCTTTCTCATTCACTCTCTCTATCCTGCATCATTTTGATTCATAAACCAGGCCCTCAGAGCCTGGGTCTATTTTCTCTCCATCCATGCACTAATTTCTACACATGGGACAACAGTACAGATTTTGCATCGTCTTATGTTTGTACATACTTGAAAGTTGGCTTGTGCAAGTCAAAAAGGGGATTACCACCTGGTGAATTTCATCCCACAGTTGGTTCACCAATGAAAGTTGTCAGCATAGAGTGGTGAAGTGTGACGTCATCAAAAATCTAACTTTAGAATTTCTCAAATTTTTCTTCATTTTCCGAAAGAGCATCAAAAATAATGTCCAAATGTTGGAAGCCAATTGAATATGTTAAGTATTATCTGACTTAGGAGCCAGAGCATATAACCCTGAGTTCCCATAGGACATATATTTATTCAGATGGTCATATCTCAGCCAATACTTAACATATTCAATTGGTTTTCGACATTTGGACATTATTTTTTATGCTCTTTCGGAAAATGAAGAACAAATTGAGAAATTCTAAAAATAGATTTTTATGACGTCTCAGCTTCTGTACTCTATATATTCATTAAAAACTACCTGTTGATGAATTCCTGATATTTTTTTTCAAAGTCTATTTTTCTTTAATTGTAGCAGATTTTATGTGAGTGTTTTCCTTAATCTCTCTTTTGATCTCTTTCTCTCTGTCTGTACAGGAATGCAAGGAGGTTTCGATGTAGAAGATGAGAACCAGTATGAGTATGAAGAACACAACTCTGTAGTCATCTTACCAGACTTCACTGAGATTCCGCTTCCCAATGCTGAACTGCCTGAAGAGGTGAGTCACATTTGTCTCTACGGGGCAAGCACTTGAAGACAAAGATCCACAATCCTCTTTGGCATATACAGTACATAAAATTTTTGAATGTGTTGCCCAAATATGATTTCCTTACAAGTGCAGAAATAGCAAAATGTATGCTCTAGGGCTGCGACGAGTAGTCGAATGCTCTAGTACCCGCACTGTTGACAACTGCTCGAGTACGATTTCTCGTACTTGAATATTCGGCCGCAAAAAAAAAAAAAAAAAATCCGGTCACCTGGCACTGTCCAGGCCGACGCTTACCCGTGCCAGGGAGAGCGCCGACCGCTGGCATGGTACCGTTGGTAAAAATGTTTCCCAGCTCAATCACAGTCAAACTCACCACTCAGAAACTGGGACCAAATATCCTGATTTCTGTTTGGACTCAGAGGAAAATGGATTATTCTGCCATCTTTGGTTTTTAAAACAGCATTGTTTACTGTTATTATTATTATTAAATCATTAAATTATTCAACTGCAACTCGAAGTAAAATTGTGAGAGTTTTCAAAGACAGACCTGGGATACTGCTCCCGTGGTATGGTGGTGGCAAAAATTTAATTTTTTTTAAAAAAAAATACATTTTTAATTTTTTTGTTTTTAATTAAAAAAAATTAAAAAATTAAAAAAAACATGGTGTCCGAATATTCAAGTATTCGCTTGTAAGCCTGGGAGTGTACTTGGGTACCTCATTACACGGTTGTGCACAGCTTTAGTATGCACAATTTGTATACCACTGGATTATATCTTCTTGTTCTTGTTCTTGTTCTTCTTCTCCTCCTTCTTTGTCTTTTTACTCCTCTTTCTTTCTTTCTGTTTGCTTTTAATAATAATAATAATAAACCATTCTTAATTAGCGCATATCACAAAAATAAATGTAAGTCCCTATGCGCCTAAGTTAGAGAGGGGAAGCGAAAGACATTACAAATCTGAATACTTGTTTCTACCATGCATTTGTTTACGGGGACCTCGTGGTTTCCCTTGGGCAATGGGTTAAAAATAAAACAGGTTATTTATACATATACCATATATAGATGCTGGTATCTCAAACTTGCTCTGACTGGCCTATGTGAAAATGAGTGGGTTAAAGGTAAAGACCAGTTTTTGAAACGCCCCATCTCAAAAAATGAAATGGAAGCTCTTATTACCAATCATGTGAAAGAATATGTTTTGACTAATATACGTGATGATACAAATTTTGCCGAGAAACTGCCTACTAATTGATATATTTGGTAAATTATTATATCTATTTGGACCTGATAGATATCGCACTTGTGTTGCACACGTGTCACATAATACCATATACATCTTTCTGTGTACAGTGCTTGTAACTTTTCGAAGACTGGGCCAAATTTCTTATCATTTTGATGATTCCAGAACCTTGCAGTACACACCAATACTTTTATGCTAGATGATCAACCTTTTCTGATCGATTCCACAACGTTTCTTTCACAATGCAAGCGCATGACCATAACTGGTCTTTATCTTTATGAAGCTGGGCTTCACATCCTGCTTTAGGGGGATAATGATTTCTCTGTCCCTCTTATCACATCCTGTTGTCGTTTCCCTAATGTCCTCATTTTATTGCCTACTCATTTTAATAACAATGTCTTCTATAGCTTGCTCGAAAATATTACACTTGTCATGTAGAATGGGGGGGGGGGGGGGGGGTTGTGTGTCCAGACAATTAACAGAAATAAAACAATCACGTTTGCCATTGGATTTTAATGAAAAATAAGCATCAAATAACGCTTACCACCATACATATTCGTCCTTTACAATACTGTCCAACATAAGTCTTAAAAGATGCCAGAATATTACTTGAAAACTTCTTCAAATTACTGTTTTAAACGACTGCCCGAATACACATCTTGATCAGAAACATGATTTGATGACTCGGTATATTAGTTCAACTTCTTAGGTGTACTGCTTGTGGAATATTTTATACACAGCTTAAAATAGTCTGAGAAATAATAACTTGCAGTGTCCAATCAACAATCAGTTTACATGACATGTACAATGGCTAGTTTTTCAAATTGAAGAGATGTGTCTTTTTGCACAAATTTCTTTTCTTTCCTTGTTTTTTTTTTATTCATGTTGCAAAAAAATGTACAGCAGTAGGCAGAGTAGCGTCATTCATACGACACAGTGTGGTACATGTATACTGCCTAGAAATAACACGCTGCAGCAAAGTAGATATTGAAGAAAAAAAAGCAGCATGCATTAAAATCCTCTTTATTTATAACAAGGCTCAACAGCTGCCCAGGGACACAAAATCTAGGTCCAAACGCCCACTGTACAGAGCAGGGCTCATCTCTTAAAACGGTTATTGTGGAGCCCTGTTAAAACTTTTAAGATACAAGACTAGATTGCTATTTTGCTTTGTGTGAACAAGGCCAAAGTTGATAATCTTAGATACTTACCGGTATTTTCAAGAGCATTGAAAGCACAAGAAAAACAATAATTGGGTCAACGACAAGCCTCAAGCAAACAATATTTAACCATAACGTCATCAGTTGGTCACATCTATTATTGTATTGCCAGTATGTTGTGAGGATTTCTTTCCCTTGGCATATATAGTTAAAGTTATTTTGATGTATCTTAGACTGTTATAAACTTGTTTTTTTCAGCTATCCTCTACTATTTAAATGCATTTATTATTGAGGATCATCAGGGCATCCTGCCATGAACCTTGTATGGTTTTTATATAGTTTTTGATCTTTCTTTAAAATCAAAAAGCTTCTTGAACCCTGCCATGATGGCTAGAGCTTGTTTGTTTCAGGTATCCTCTACTATTTAAATGCATTTATAATTGAGGATTAGGACATCGTGCCATGTACCTCGTATGGCTTTTATAATGCTCTTGATCTTTCTTTAAATAATCAAAAGGCTCATTAAATCCTTTCATGGTGGCTAGAGGAAGAATTAAGAAAACATAAATAGACATGATATTTAGCTTTAGATCTGCACCGGCCCTCAACTTCTATTTATTTTATTTATTATTATTCTCAGTGGAAGATAGTCATGAAGCATTAATCCTTTCAGAACAATTGGTCAAATCGATCAAAATTTGCAATTTCTTCAATTTTTTTGACAACATTTTTGCCCATGTATATTGTCTTCAGAAGCATAACATTTATTTTAAGAATGTAGCAATGTAAGAAAAATATTATGGTTGCCAATTTGAGAAAGATTTTTGATCAATTAAGCCCTAGAATAAATGTTTTCCTGGGTTGCATTTCACAAAGCCTTTTTTCAATGACAAATAACAAAAATCAGTGACAAATCTGCTGATAACCAATCAGAAACAAGGATTTCAGTAGCTTATAACACAAATTGTCATTTGTCACTGATAAAAAAAATTTAAAAAAATAAAAACGTTACTTATAAAGCGCTTACCACCGAAGTCTCTAAGCGCTATACACACAAAATAGATACAATTACATCTTATACAAAACTAAAAATGCAAATGAACATACAAACTACAATACACGTCAAAGTGAACAGAGTTAATTAATCATCGAACGCAATTTTGAATAAATGACAAGTTTTGTGAAATGCCCCCCAGAAAGGGTAAAGGAAGCTGTAGTTATGAACTTCAACTTTTGCCAGATGGATGTTCCATGGCAGTGGAGGGTGTAGAGAGTCACAGCAAAACCCCATGCCCCCTTTTAAAAGGGGAAGCTCACCCTTATATTAAGTTAGTTTAATAAAAGCAGAAAAATGAGAGGAACAGGTCTGTGAAAGTTTGAGCAAATTCTGATTAAAAATAAGAAAGTTATGAATTTTTTAAGCTGCGATCAATCAAACGCAAATTGGGAACACTTTTTTTTCTATACAGGGGTGGTACAGAAACATATTTGCCAATTTGCCAATTTGAGATACGCATATGTATACATTGGCCTCATACTTAAATTATTTTTAACTCTCTTGATAAATTGGTCCGATTTATTTAAAACCTTCCCTTATTTTTCTGCGTTCATACAACTTATTTCAAGGGTTGGATTGCCCTTAAAGAGAAGGTTGAGTTCTGGGAGGGAAGAGGTGAAAAATAATTTGTGAGCATTATCATTATTATTATGCAAGTGTGGAAGAACATCAGATAAGACATGTTCCCTGAAAAGCATGGCTCTTCAAATGCCTTCATATTCTAAATATATCATGTAACATCGTAAAAATCCAGGGTAGGATTTTTAGGCCACGTGTTCGTGTAGTCCCATATACATCTTTCTGTGTACAGTGTTTGTAACTTTACCAAGACTTGGCCAAATTTCTTATTATTTTGTTGATTCCAGAACCTTGCAATACACAAACATTTTTATATGCTAGATGATCAACCTTTCTGGTCGATTCCACAACGTTTCTTTCACAATGCAATCGCATGACCAGAACTCAACTTCATCTTTAAATAAAATATGTATGTGAATTTAATACATAAGTGATGATTGTTGATCTAATACAATATCTTCTTTGGTATTTGTAGGTCCAGCTTTCTATTGCCAGTATCCTGTCGGCTACCTCAGCTTCTAAAGCGGAACAAATTCAAGCCTGGGATGGAGAAGCAAAGATTCTCTCTAGGTAAGTAGAATCTGGAGTACAATTCTCCAGCAATCAACCCCTCTGGACATCGTTTCACGAAACCGTCATAAGTACAAGTTCACCGATATCCCATTGAAACAGGTGTTAATTGTATGTGTTCAAAGTTGCAGTCGCTAAAGCTCTAGCGTAGCTTGAGGTTTTGGGGTGTGTATTAGTTGAAGAAATCTAAATCACTTTGTGAATAGCTTTAATAGAAGAGCCAATTATTAGATATATATATATAGATCTGTTATGTCATTTATGATTTTATTTTTATTTTCTTGAATGTCTCAGTTATCAGATTTATTCAGATATACTTCAATTAACTGTACAGGGGTAAATGTTTTTCATTTATAAATGTGCATGAAGATGGGTAAATTATGTAATTTAAGGAAACGATCAAGCCATAACAATGAAAATCAATATTATATATATTATATGATTATTATTTTGCCATCACCAAAATATATCCATATTTTGTATCCTATTTATATTCTTTGTAAACCATGTCTGAGCCTTTATTTTACTTGTGAGCTAAAAAAATATCTATGTTCCGTCCCTCGGATAGGACCTCAAATGGAGGCCCCATGTAGAGGAGAGTCACCACCTTTGCGCCTTAAGAACCACTGCACTATTCGTATAAGGGTAGCCGGAATCCCGGGTATAGTGGTCCACCTGCACACCCCCAATCAGTTATACCGGGAGCAAATTCTTGCAAGTGTTATCTCAATAGCGTTCTCTCTTTCTGTGGACATGCAGCTAATCTCAAACAACTGGACAACGGTGTGAAGGTTCCGCCCAAGGGTTAGAAGTGCAGCATGTGTGACCTAAAAGACAACAAATATGGACAAAATAAATACATTGAAATTGAAATGAATTCTTGCAACTGTTATCTCAAGACCTTCCTCTCTTTTTGCAGACATGCAGCAAATCTCAAACAACTGGACAACGGTGTGAAGGTACCGCCCAAGGGTTGGAAGTGCAGCATGTGTGACCTAAGAGACAACAAATATGGAAGAAATAAATACATTGAAATTGAAATGAATTCTTGCAACTTTTACGCTGTATCTCAAGAGCTTTGTCTCTTTTTTTGCAGACATGCAGCTAATCTCAAACAACTGGACAACGGTGTCAAGGTACCGCCCAAGGGTTGGAAGTGCAGCATGTGTGACCTGAAGGACAACCTGTGGATGAACCTGACCGATGGTACCATACTCTGCGGGAGGCGATACTTTGATGGGACGGGAGGCAACAACCACGCTGTCGAACAATACGACCAGACCAAATATCCCTTAGCTGTGAAACTAGGCACGATAACTCCGAACGGAGCAGGTGGGTTGGTTTAATACAGGTAGTGAATTTATGGTGTTAAAGCCCCACTGCACTACTTGTAGCTACTTGCGCCCTCTATATAGCAAACAATGCCTAATCGGTGACAATTGGTACCCCATGATCCTCTTTTTCTGATGTTAATTGAGAATTTATTTGATGAGATATCCACCTGTAAGTGACCATGCAGGGAGGTCTAATCCCTCCTGGCCAAACTTGTGCAGTGGGGCTTTAAACCCACAAACGGGGGACCGGGGCCCTGTCTTATAAACAGTTGCAATTGGTATCAATCGCAACTATGTAATTAAGAGATAGGGGACTTGCGATTGATTTTGATCAATGGCAACTCTGTATAAGACGGGCCCCTTGTAAGATGCTGAAAGTGATTATCATCAAATTGAAGTAATGATCATTGAATCTAGATAGTGACCAAGGACCAAATTTATTTTTTATATCTGATGGAGGTTTTGAGGGGTAATGGTGGAGAGAAAGAGAAAAAGATAGATATATATAGATAGATAGATAGATAGATGGATAGAGGAGGAGAGAGGAAGAGAAAGAAAGAGAGAAAAGAGAGAGGGAGAAGGGGGTGGGAAGCATTCTTATACCATACACAAGTATTTTCTTATGCCTTGTATTATGGTCTAAGCTTGTGAACCAAGGTTTCTTGCCTATATGTAATGTTTGGACGAGTGTCTGTGAAGAATACGATTGCTATCTGCCTATGAGAAACAGAGGTCTGTATTCCAGAGACAATTAGCATTCGCACTGTAAGGCCATCTCTTTTGATTTTATTTGATATGGTTTATTGATAAAAACATACATTCAAATAGCAGCAACAGGCTGAAACAAATTGAATTTACAAAAAATTAATACATACAAATGCAAAATGGTAAACTAGTTTACATTAGATTACAAAATATGAGTGGCAATTCAAAATGAATAACCAAGGAGATAAGAAAATAAAAGACAGAGGAACAAGAGAAGAGATTGAAATGGATATCTAGGAGGATAATAGAAGGAGAACGAGTAACAGAAGGCAATACAACAAATATGGTAGAAGATTAGAAGGACTGATAAGACAATACTGGTAATAGAGAGAGAGTGAGAGAGAGAAAGCGTAGAGATAATAACAATAAAAGGGACAGATAAAGAGTAGGACAGATAAATAGGCTGAAAAGGAGAACTAGAAACAATAATTGAATAATAATGAGGCTTGGTTTCATGTGATTGGTTTCACAGAAGGAAATGTACGGTATTCAAACCTTGAAAACAAATTCAGTCAATCACTTATTCCATTTCTCTACATGACGTCGCTAGTCTCTATATGAAAGGATTAAAGGTACTATGTCCCTTTTGCAGCCAACCTCAAATTCTGTAGCCAACCTCAAATTCTGTAGAACTTTGCAGAATTGTCTGAAAATCAAGACTATTACTTTTGGGCTCTATAGCCCTAAAGTCGATTTGACTACTAATAGTCGTTATTTTCCCACTTGAAGACATTTTCAAGCCCCCACCTTTTTTAGGGAAGTTCTAAATTAGTATTATCTTTCAAATGCAGTTGGAATTTAACTTTTTCATTTTTTTGGTCTGCAAATGGGACATACATGTAGTACCTTTAAGGAATGATAGCATGCAGTAGTCATTGAGTTAAGATATATATATATGTATTTGTAAGGCAGAAAAGCACATTTTCAATTATTCTTACTTGATCTGAGTTGATTAAACACATGGTGAGGAAACTGTATGCTTCCTCCTTTCCTGTTTATACAATTCACTGCATCTCAAAGATATGAGTTGGGATGTTGTCTTTTGAGGAAATCATTTTTCAGGTAATTTACAATGGAAGTGCCTGCAAACATAGTTATCTCTTGTAAAAGATTAAAAGAAATTGGTCACATTATATAAGCATCATTTTTATGCCTCCGTTACGAAGTAGCCGGAGGCATTATGTTTTCGGGTTGTCCGTCCGTCCGTCCGTACGTCCGTACATCCGTACGTCCGTCCGTCCGTACGTCCCGTTCTCGTGATCGCGTTATCTGAAGAACCGATTGATGGATTCCTGCCAAACTTTGGTCATGTATGTATCTTGCAGAGCCGATGAACTGATTAGATTTGGGGGTCACGAGGTCAAAGGTCAAAGGTCACAGGGCTCATTATGTATGCAAAAACAGCTCGTGATCGCGTTATCTGAAGAACCGATTGATGGATTCCTGCCAAACTTTGGTCATGTATGTATCTTGCAAAGCCGATGAACTGATTAGATTTTGGGGTCACGAGATCAAAGGTCAAAGGTCACAGGGCTCATTATGTATGCAAAAACAGCTTGTGATCGCGTTATCTCAAGAACCGATTGATGGATTCCTGCCAAACTTAGGTCATGTATGTTACTTGCAGAGCCGATGAACTGATTAGATTTTGGGGTCATGAGGTCAAGGTCAAAGGTCATGCGGCTCATTATGTATGCAAAAATAGCTTGTGATCGCATTATCATTAGAACAGATTGATGGATTCCTGCCAAACTTAGATCATGTATGTATCTTGCAGAGCCAATGAACTGAGTAGATTCTTGGGTCATGAGGTCAAAGGTCAAAGGTCATGGGCTCATTATGTATGCAAAAATAGCTTGTGAACGCATTCTCATTAGAACTGACAGATGGATTACTATTTAACTCGGGACATCTTGCGGAGCCAATGAACTGAGTAGATGTTAGGGCCATGAGGTCAAAGATCAAAGGGTCATATATGTATATGAGAAATTGCTTGTAATCACGATATTCTGAGAACCTGTTAATGGATTACAATTGAACTTGAATTTGAAAAATTTCTTCTGTTTTGGTTTGTAAATTGCTCTATGACGGAGGCATCATTTCGACTGCGCGCAGTCGAAGTTCCATCTAGTTTTCATAATTAAATGTTTATGTAATTTCTATGAATGTTGTAAAAAATAGTAAAGTGTATATGAGTGCAGTGGCATAGTTACCAGGGGTACAAGGGGGAATGTTTCCCCCATTGAATGCAGAATTTATAAGGTATCATGATTATTATGGGTTATGTTTTTAATTCTGATATTTGATGATGATAATGTATTATATTTATAAAGTGCATTACATGTGTAATACATTTCAAAATTTTCAATATGAGATACAATACTAATCTTAACGATACCTGCATTTGAAAATAGTTTTTACATATGAAAAATACATCTACATGTACGTTCATGACACTAATTCTGCAATAGTAGAAATTACTCAACAAAAAAATAAATTGCCTCTCAAATACTAAGAATTCTTTTATTGAACCCACCTGACCTAGTTCATAGACTTTGAGGTGTATATTGGGATGAGGGAGATGATGAATACAAATCAAATCAGGTACCAATTGAGCTACAGAAGGGGTCGATGTCCCAATCAAAGGGTGATAAAAAAAGTGTTGAATTCCCCATTAAAGGCCGGCTGTACTAGTTTGGCCAGGAGGGATTAGACCACACAGCAAAGTCACTGACAGGTGGCTATCTCATCAACTCAGCTCTCAATTAACATAAGAAAAAGAGGATCATGGGGGACCAACGGTCACTGATTAGACATTGTTTGTTATATAGAGGGAGCAAGTAGCTATAAGTAGTACAGTGGGGCTTTAAGCCTCGTTCAGGTATGACACTGCAGTTTTTTGTAATGACCATCAAGGGTAATGCGCTTCACATTTCTGTTATTTTATAAAACAGTGCTCAGTGAATAAGTGTAGGGTCTTTGTTGCTTGCAGTTTCTATTGACCTGTACATGTTAAAAAAATAGGCATTTAATAATAATAACAATAATAATAATAATATGTCTTGTTTACCCAGGGTAGCCTCATCAGTATTCATACTGTGCTCCCTGAGAGCCCTGCATTTGGGGGTTTTTGTGTTTGGTTTTTGACCACGTCTTATTTGAACAAGCCCTAAAAATCATGAATATATATATATATCTTTGAAGACATATCCTTCTTCTCTTTTTCCCCCGGTATAGATGTGTATTCCTATGTCGAGGATGAGATGGTCGATGATCCACTACTAGCAACTCATCTAACTCACTTTGGCATCAACATGATGAACATGGAGAAGGTAGGTTCTCAGTCCTGTGGATAGGAATGTTTAGCTTTAGGTTCCCTGGGTGCTTCAAAGGGCCTTGGTAACATTGTTCAGATGAGAAAAAATGGCGCTAAGGTAGTGACTTCAATGCTAGATGTACAATTAAAGATAATCTGAAAGTTTGATTGAAAACGGACCATTATCAATGATAAAAATTGTGAAAAACTGATCTGAGCGATTCCTTTATTCTCCCAACTATATTATTACAATTTAATTACAATTTAAGTGAATGTAAATCACATATTCACAATGACTTTGCATTTAATAATTAAGCACGGCTCATCGCCTCAGCTATAATGGTGAGCCCATCAGATCCACATATTATGTCGTCACTGTAACTGCCCCAGATTTAACTCTCCTTGACCCGTACTTTAGAGGGGTGTGAAAAATGAGGCTTTTGTGCAATACTGAAAGGGAAAATATGTGTTATTCCTCTATATGTATATTCTATGTTCATTGAACTTTCCATCGATATAAAGTTGTACAGTCAAACCTGCTTTAGTGACCACCTGTCTACAAAGACCACATTTTTTGTTTCCCTTGAAAATAGTTTCTCAATGAAACATGTACTAAGGCTGTGCACAACAGTGTAATGAGGTACCCGAATACACTCCCAGGCTTACAAGCGAATACTCGAATATTCGGACGCCATATTTTTTTATAATTTTTTTTTTGGGGGGGGGGGGAATTTTTTTGCCACCACCATACCTTTGAAGCAGTATCCCAGTTCTGTCGCCGAAAATGCATGCAATTTTACTTTGAGTTGCAGTTGAAGGCGCCGATTTAATAATAATAATAACAGTAAACAATGCTGTCTTAAAAACCAAAGATGGAAGAATAATCCATTTTCCTACAAGTCCAAACAGAAATCCAGACATTTGGTCCCAGTTTCTGAGTGGTGAGGCACGGGTAAGCGTCGGCCTGGACAGACTTTTTTTTTCTTTTTTTGCTGCCGAATATTCGGGTACGAGAAATCGTACCCGAGTAGTTGTCAACCGTGCGGGTACTCGAGCATTCAACTACACGTCGCAGCCCTAACATTTACTAGACGAACTTGTCTACAAAGACCACTTTTTGTGTTTCCCTTGGGCGGTTACTATAGACAGGTTTTGACTGTATTTTCATCAGATAGGGTCTTCAATGCATCCTAATCTGTGTCTCCCCTATCTCTCTCTCTAGACTGACAAGACCATGACGGAGCTAGAGATAGACCTGAACATGAGAGTTGCTGAATGGGACACCATCCAGGAGTCTGGTTCTCAACTCAAGCCTCTGTTTGGACCTGGTCTAACTGGACTTAAAAACATGGGCAATAGGTAGAAATATGAATGCTTTTCTTTTAATAGTAAACAGGGACCTGTTTTACAAAGCCTTTTTCAATGACACATGACAAAAATCAGTGACAAATCTGCTGATAATAACAAAAACTGTCATTTGTCACTGATGATAAGTTTTGTGAAATGGGGCCCAGGTCTTGGAAAAAAATTGGCAGTAGGTTGAATTCTCAATACATTTTTCGATGGGTTAAAATGAATCAGTAGTCAATTGAAAAATGCTGAATAATATTTTCCAATTAGGTAAAATGTAAAAAACAGATGTAGAGACCTTAAATGGGCTAATTGACTATCGTCCATTTAACTGTTTACATGTTTACAGGTGATTGGAATTATTCATATGTGCTGTGCATGCATTTGAAATGAAGCATACTTTTGTGTAGACTTTCCTTAAAACTTACATGTTTATGCAACACAGATTTAGAGAGATCAGTGCTGTCAGAAAACATTTTGTATGATATATCCTTCACATGGGCAATGTTGTTGAAAGTTACATACATAAATCAAGAGCTGCCTTTTATTATTTAAAAAAATTGATTGACAAGGCCAAAGGATTGATCACATCTGTTGAGGTGTCAGGTTACCCCTTAAGATCTCTTGGTAACTTTTGGAACCTTTGCGGTGTTGGTCATGATACTTTCTCCTTTTTTGTGCAATATGTTTATTTGAGTGAGTAATTAACTTGTTTGTATTGATATTGTAATCTTTTGTTCTTTTTTACTAGTTGTTACCTGAACTCGGTCATGCAAGTTCTCTTTAGTATTCCTGACTTTGTAAATAGGTGAGTAGCATAAGATTCAATATTGAACATTCCTTGATAATGGTGAAGGGGAAGTCCACCCTGATACTAAGTTGATTTTGATAGAAGCAGAAACAAACATAAGAGAAACAAACAGTGAAAGTTTGAAATAGATCGGACGAATAATAAGAAAGTTGTGAATTATTTAAATTTGAGATCACTTCAGCTCTGCGAATCTCCAGATTGCAATTTTGTAAGTGGATTGTGACGTAGTGACAGATAATTCTCCCATTTGTCATGAACAAAAATATCACTAATTTCTGTTTATCTCCCTAGTGTCTTCACTCTGGAGGCATTACTCAAAGTATTTTATGGAGTGTATATTATTACAGGTCCTCTAAAGGTCTATTAAAGACCACCTGAGTCGTATATTTTGGGGGAAAAACATGAAATTTTAGTCATTTTGAATGTGGGAACAAATAGGAATGTTGTCCACCACTTTTATGATCATCTTGCCGTTTGATATAATTTTGTGATATGAACTCTAAAACTCAAAGAGTAGCTTTTGATGATTCTATCTTGAAATAAGAAGGGTTGTTTCTCTTATCTTTTAGATATGCTTCCAAGAAGGACGAGATCTTTACGAGTGCTCCTGCAGATCCGAGGGGGGACTTCAATGTACAAATGTAAGTTACCCAATTCTTCATCACAAGACTCCCATCCATGTATTCTGATGAGGCTGTTAGTCATTACAAATATACTTAAAGGCATTGTTTAACAATGCAAAATCTGGGATGCATGGCCCTACGTGTTATTAGCGTTTGTGTAATGGTATAATATTGAAGCCCTAAAAAAATTGCGCTTCAAAATAATTGTGAAGTGCCTCAAAAAAGAAAAAAAATCTTTGAGTTACCGGTTTTACCATACTCATTTTCCCAATTGACTGCAGTGTTTTGAAATTTTAAATTCCAAACATAAATATCTTGATAATCAGATGGGCAATCGTCATGGGATTCCTGACTGACCTAAAGGTTTATAATTATGATTGCAGCATGAGCTAAATCCAGGATTTTGTTTAGAATCTGAGATGAAGATACCCAATCCCTTTATCAGAGCTGCCAACTAGTACGGATTTTCCGTAATTGGTACGGAAATCAACGGCAATTACGGAAGCACGGAAACCCCTTCAAAAATTACGGATTCCCCGATTTCTGGACATGCCTATGTATTAACACATGCATTATGCATATGCGAGTGTTTTAGCGGTAATGATCGCGATACTTCCCGGGCCTCGGCCCGGTGGTTAACTTTTGAGCGCACGGAAATATCATCCGCGCCTCAGCCACGACCAAGTTGCACACACATGTAGCTACCATCGAAAGATATGCACACCGCCCTGCCTATATGGGCTGCGTGTGCTAGCTTTCAGCATGCAATATATATCGGGGAGACGGCAAACTCGTCCCAAGTCCATTTAGCCACCTTGCAAACCAACCCGTACGGTACCATGTCCATGTGTAGTTTATAGCAGGTCTACAATTTTTTTCCCCTTAGTGATGGGTTCTCATTGTTATGATAATAAAAGTACGACTCGACTAATGATGAAGATGATGATGATGATGATGATGATGATGATGATGATGATGATGATGATAATTGTCATAAGGAAAATGAATGTACTTCCTTGATTAAACTTGAATTTATATTCAACAATTATTGTCATTGTGTTTTATTTCACATTATTTGTTGGATCATGTTTATTCATTTCATTTTATTCATATACCCCTTTTCATTGTTGATAACAAAATATGATACACGAATAAATTTTGAATGAGCTGACACGCAAAGTTTTGACCGATACGAAAGCGCATGCATGGTGGATGTGCTGAAACAAGTGGCACGATATTTATCTGGGCGAAATATGCATTGGCCGAGTGTTACACTACCGCATGTGCAGCAGGTCGGCCGTGGGCGCGTCAAACTTCGAGTAACCGACGGAGAAAAATGACTTCAACTTCATCGAAGAAGCGTTCTAAAAAACTGCAAACCTTCTCAGGTGAAATGGTCATGCATTGTTCCGTCGAAAAGGAATACAAACAGTGCCTGTTGTACACATTGCTCATCCGATTTTGGAATTGGTCATGGCGGTTCGAACGATATCCAGGTACATCTGAAGTCGGTGAAGCACCGGACTGCAGCGGCGGAGGCAAGTTCCAATTCCCGCAGTCATGACATCGCCCAGTTTTTCGTCGCAAAGGACAATTCTGTCACGAACGCCGAAGTGAAGTTTACTCAATTTTTGATAGAGCACAACATCGCGTTTTCAGCAGCAGACCACCTTTCACAACTTGTCAAAAATGCCTTCCCTGACAGTAAAATTGCAATTGTAAAAACCTGAAGTGAATATACACACGTAAGTGAAACAGGGTAATGATACATCAATCCTCTAATAACCATTGTTTTTTTTATAGCACTTAAAATGATGTTATAAACAGAATGTTCTTGTTTTTACTTCAAGTCCTGTCATTCAGAGTGATGCTATTACCATGGTACTAGTAGTTTGTGTTGTGGTGTTGTGTGCAGCTCTACAATGTACGTGCAAATGCAGTCTTCTTGATGTTGAAAGCGCCGCGCTTGAAATTACTGATTTCCATCCAAAATTACTGATTTTTAGCTTTCAGATTACTGATTTTGGTTTCAGAGGTTGGCAGCTCTGCTTTATAAGACCCCACCGACGAAAATACATGAATGGAAAGCTGAATGAAAGTAGAATACAAATATAAAAGAATAACAAATATTTCCCCTTTCAATATTGCTGAAAAGCAAATTAAAACCTCATTTTCCGCAGTTAAGGTGGCAACATAATAAATGGACCGGATCTAGGCAAAGATATTGCAGTTTCAATGCACTCTAAAAAGACTTGTTGAGAAGACTGTTCGATGCACGCATATGTGCTCGCCTAGAATACTTCTGTTTATTAAGTGCCTTTGTTTTGTTGAGATAATTATATAATATTGACTGGCCTTGAGGGGTATATCAGAAATATTGACCAAGCTCAGATCATATTGCCCCGAGTCGAAAGACGAGGGCAATATGGTATTAGCGCGGTCAATATTTCTGATATACCCCGAAAGTAAAGCCAGTCAATATTTGTATTGTTATCCAAATCAGACATCTAGAGCAAATACAGAAATCCACCATGACAATCTCAAGAACTGAACAAACTTTGTCAAACCAGCACTGTGCATCTAGTGCTTGACACAATTTTCGATACACTGCAAACAGTGTGCATTTGGTGTGATTATTACGTCACAATAGAGTGCGCGCAAAGTGCTCAGGTTCTCGTACGCATAATAGATGCGCAATGAAAATGACAAAATACGGTGCGGTCAATACAAGATGCCCGGATGCGAGACCGTGGAAAATACCAAGGTATATTTTCACTCGTCTCTACACGCAAAGTCAATACGCGCAGGGAGACCAAGGAAAATACAAAGAATATACCCCTCCGTTCCCACTGCTAGTGAAAACTAGGGCAATACGGTTTTGTAAATGACCAGCTCAGATGTCTGATACGGGTAATAATGACTAATATACAATGAAACCTGCTAAGTTAGGACTGGTCAAGGGAAACAAGAAAAGTGGTCTTTATAGGCAGTTGATCTCTATGGACAAGTTCCTTTCATGCATGTTTCAATGGGTACCTTTATGCAAGGGAAAACGGAAGATGCGGTCTTTAGTAATAATAATAAATTATACTTCTCTAGCGCATTATACAAGGTATGTCTCTATGCGCTTTACATTGTATTACAAGCTTAATTAATTACATGTATCTACTATTGAACTATCCTCAAACAAAAACAAAATTCTGACAAGATCTTAACTAAAATAGTACAACAGTAACTAGATAATTAACCATTCTAATTCATTCTTAAATAATGATACAACAATTATGGTGCAAGATTTTATTCATATCTTACAAGTTGTAGACATATACAATTTCAATTGAAATCATAGATAACAAAGCATAAAAATACTTAATTCTTAAAAAGGTAGGTCTTATAAAAGGATGCCAGTTTTCAGGCAAATACCTGAGTTCAGACCCTGGCAATTTATTTTCAGGCCATAGTTGATGGTTTTTTTGTGTACAAAATAGCTAATTCTAGGTGATTTTTAGGCTCTCTGATCAATTCTAACTGGTGTCCCTCTTTACAGACCGATGGTTTTTCTATACAGACAGTCAATAAAGGCAGGTTTCATTGTATTTGTTACAGGGCCAAGCTTGGTTACGGGTTAGCTTCAGGACGATACTCGCAGGAACCCAAGACGACAGACAGTGGAGACCAGTCCGAAGCAAAGGTATCAAACACGGCTACATTTATTTATATTTCAATAGTCATATATCCCCAAACCTTTCTGTGTAAAATGAGCAAAAAATCTCAATCATTTTATGTTTGGTTCAGTTTTCTCTGTGTTTTTTTTTTTCTTCAAATCTTGAAAATATGACTTGGGCCATTATTTTAAGAAGGTGACGATATGCCAGCTTATGAAAATATTCAATCACATTATGATACTTAAATGTTACCCCACAAATTTCAATAATTCGACTCTTAAAGTAAGTGCCAACTATATGATTACTTTTGTATACACTGTTGTCCATAAAATTGGAATCGTCTTTCGTTATCTCTTATTGTTAAATGACTGTGATATTTTCTTGAGAGATAAAGTTTATATATTCTTCGAAATTAATTCTGATCAATTAATCAATAAAGTTCTGAGAAGATGTAAACTCTACCTATCGAGAAAAAACAATATTGTGACAATCATTTCATAAAAATTGGTTAGGATAACTTATTCCAACTTCATGGGCAACAGTATATTTGATTAAAAAAGCCAGTTCATAGTTCCAGTCTGAGCATGAGCAGATAAAGGTCATTGCAGACCAAATAAGGGAGTTTACAGATACAATCTGCACATGGGCAGATAAAGGTCATTTGTACCAAAATGGTAAAACCCACAGAGATGAATACTGGATATGCGCTCATTAAAGTTATGTAACATTCATTTATGCACCAACGGTACATTATATGATACGCAGGTGGAAGTATTTTTTTCAAGAGGCCAAACGAAAGGTATTCATGAAGCACATCTAGGACTTTGGTAGTTATTATTCTAAGATGCTCAAAGTGGAACTTCTCCATGTGTAAAAGATCTGTGGATATTTGGGGTCATTTGTACCATGTGCTATATGTAAACTCCCTTATTGTGAAATACACAGACAAAATACTGGATACATGCTCATGAAAGTTATGTAATCATTATTCATTTATGCACAAGCAGTGCACTCCGTGATACACAGCTGGAAGTATTCTTTGAAAAGGGGAAACGAAGGCTATTTATGTAGCACCTCCATCGCTATAGGAGTGATTATTTCAAAATGTACAAAGTGGGACCTCTTCATGTTGTGAAGATCTGTGGATATTCGCGGTCATTTGGGACATGTGCTAACCGTGAACTGGTCTATTGAACAAACCTATTGATATGTTTGTAACGTAGAAGCAGAGTGGTGTTGCCCCCAGGATGTTCAAGAGCCTTGTGGGTAAAGGTCACCAAGAGTTCTCTACCAACAGACAACAAGATGCTCAAGAATATCTTCTTCATCTCTTCAGCATCATTGAGGTGAGTATCCTCCATCAGCATACCTGCCAACCCTTACAAACAATCCGGAATATACTGTTTTTTCTTGATTTCTGGGACCTGAAAATCTGGAATATTCTGATTTTTCAAAATTTGGATTTTTTTTTCTTTTCTTTTTTTCTTTTCTTTTTTCTTTTTTTTTTTTTTTTTTTTTTTTTTTTTCCTTTTTTTTTTCTTTCTTTTTCTTTTTTTTTTTCTTTCTTTTTCTTTTTCTTTTTTTTTTCTTTTGTTGGTGTTGTTGTTTCTAGAGCCAAATTAAGCTTGTTATATCATGTGCCGCGATTTGAGAGTTCATGTATTGTGTGCGTTGAATGGCTGCATGATCGAGCAGCAAATTTGTATTTGCTTTTTGGTACAGATTTACAGTGTATTGCCAGTTACACAGCCGCTGCAAGTGCGATTTCTTATTTTTGAAGGCATACCGTACAAAACAGTCCTAATTCTTATTTTCAAATATTGGCAGGTATGCATCAGTTGGGTATTGCATAGCAGGAATAAGACACTTCTGAATAATATAAAAGGTCGACAGCTGAGATTCTTGGGTCATGTTATACAAAAGAATGGTTTGTAAAATCTGATAGGACTGGAAGAATCGAGGGGAGGAGGAGTAGGGGTAGAAGGAGGAGTCTGTGGATGAGGAGCTTAAGGAGTGGGAGGATGAATTACTTCATAGAGTATGGGACAGAGAGTTGTGGCACTCCATGGTCGCCAACGTCTCAGGATATGGCACGTAGAGAGAGGGAGAGAGATTGTATAGCTGCCAACCAATCTTATTTTTGAGGAATGATTCCTATTTTACTAGCTGCAAATAAGTGTTACGATGAGGCGCGATGGCTCAGTGGTAGAGCAGTGGTCTTGTATCCAGGAGGTCTTTGAAAGCAAGTCGATGTGCTAGTGCCCTTTTTTAAGGCATTAATCCTCATTACCAAGTCCCTCATAGAAGACTTGAAGCCATTGGTCCCCTGATTGCTTATTGAAAAGCATACACTGCACATTTATGCATGGATAGGTTAGAGCACTTGTAAGTTTGGTGTGTGCTGAAGTAAATCTACTAAATTGGGAATTTAAATGACATCAGTGGTATGGAGAATGTTGATTTCATATCAAATAGCTAGGATCTAGGAGTTTGATTGTATAAAACGAATGTATCACGTCTTAATTCGCTCACTGTGAAATCTATCTGCTCTCGTTGAGGCTCTATGGACACCTATCATCTATAGATGCCCACATCCTCGACTTGAGTGCAGGCAGATTGTATATTGAACTAATTGGCATTCGTCACATGTATAATACAGTCAAACTTGTCTATAAAGACCACTCAAGGGAGACAAGAAAAGTCGTCTTTATAGGCAGGTGGTCTTTATCTACAGGTTCCTTTAGTACATGTGTCAATGAGAAGCCATTTTCAAGGGAAACCAACAAATGTGGTCTTTGTAGACAGGTGGTCTTTCTATACAAGTGGTCATGTAAGCAGGTTTGACTGTATTAATTATCTTTCTTCAACAGAGGCACAGTAGAAATCTAAACAATCCATGCGACTGTCTCCAGCTTGAGCTAGAGGAGAGGATTCAATGTTCACAATCTAATCAGGTTAAATACAAGAAAAGAACTGACTACATCCTAGCTGTACCAATACCACTAGAGGCTGCCACAAACCTAAGTGAGTTCTTTATATCACGGTTCGGTGCAATGTCTGTTTGATATAGATGAAATATGTGTAGGTAGGGGACAGAATTGAGTCCAGTTGAGTCAAACAAAAGAAATGAACAGATTAGTTCTTAGATGTATTGTACAATGAATTGACTTTGTAGCTTTTGTTTGGTGTCTGCCTGACATAGCAACCAGGCATGCAGTCAGGAAGTAGATTGTAATGAAATGACTTTGTAGCTTTTGTTTGATGTCTGCCTGACTTGTATGCCTGGTTGCCTGACATAGCAACCAGGCATGCAGTCAGGAAATAGATTCTATTGAAATGACTCAGTAGCTTTTGTTTGATGTCTGAATTGCTTGCCTGGTTGCCTGACATAGCGACCATGCATGCAGTCAGGAAGTAGATTGTATAGAAATGACTTTGTACCTTTTGTTTGATGTCTGCCTGACTTGCATCCTTGGTTGCCTGACATAGCAACCAGGCATACAGTCAGGCGGTAAATTGCTGTACCTCTTATGTATGTGATGCAAATGTTTTGTACTCATGCTCGAATATGTCTGGATTAACATGCCAAAAGAAAGGATAAAAGTGGCCTCGTGTTGTGGCACGGGCAGATAGACTTGGGCCTGTGGAGATGTGATGTACCTGTAAGGAGTGGCAAGGCTGCCCATAGATAAGTCTATTAGACCGCCTGTTCTTTCATGTTCGATATTTTGCCTGGACTTGAATAAAGCAGGAGACTTTGAACTGAATACACTGAGCCTGCGTCCTTATTTTCTGGATTCACTACAGTATCGCTAAAGTCTGCTACTAACCAAGGTTATTTCTGTATATATGAAGGTTAAAAAATGGACAAATTATAGATATGAGTTCCATGCTATGAAGTCAAGTGTTTAGGTTATCACAATATAGACAAACTTGCAAGTTACCAACGTTTGATGATTTGAAAACAGCCATCACTCACAGAAAAATTATAGATTGGTTGATGAATTTCACCTAATTTTTGTAAATTTGTAAGCATTTTTATGTAACAAACTATCAATTTGTGTGTGTTTGTTAAATATTTTAGAGTGAGAGTGAGCCAATTAATCTTGGAATGAGTCTGTAATCTGTAACCTAGCATAAGTCACTCGAGCAAAGCATAGAGAGTCGATGCTAATGCGTATTGACCTCTAGCACTGCACTACGGTATGTGTTAATAGGCAGCATTTGCACACATGAATAGTCAATACACTCTCAATACACAAATGCACACAATCGTCCCGATGTGGCTGATCAGCAAGTTTGAAAGAAGACTTACAATTTGAATTTTAAATTCTTTTTAACATTGGTAACTTGAAAGAATTGTATTTTACTGCTATTTAGATGTCATCAATTGTCACTAAAGTACCTATTTTGAGTGAAATCAGTTGAGTTTTGTACAGTGGTGTTTGAAATGTTGATAATCAAAAGCACAGCTTTTACTACACAGCCAGAATAGTAATGCAGCTACCGGTATGTGTGAGCTTTAGTAGTCTTCCAGCTCTGTTTAAACAGTTACAGGAATATCGTCTCTTTTGTCCAAACATCCTTTTAGATGCGTTTGTTGCTTATCAAGCAAAGAAAGCAGAGTTGGAAGCCAAGAAAGAGAGGGTCGATCCAAAGGATATCGTCCGTCCCCATATCTGCCTACAAGACTGCCTCGAGGCCTTCGCTGCACAGGAGAAAGTAGAGGACTTCTACAGTGCGGCTATAAATGCCAAGACAGTGGCACTCAGGTAACACTAATCTAAATGAGGTTAAAACACAGATAATATTATATTTTTGAACATTGAACCTTCCTTGATACATGTCTGTCTTCAAGTCAGCTGCTCATTGTTTATTGGGGCAGCCTGATATAAGACTAGACAAAGATCAACAAAACCTAGTCTGTTCACTCAGGCCCGGTGATGGCTACTATTTGGGTTGAAATTCCTAGAGATCAAAAGAATTCTAATTAAGGCGTAGCCAGACATTTCCACTCGTTTCTACCTACCTTGTTTTATTTCCTTTTTTTTTTGCTACTGTCCGTTAGTCTTCTTCCTCCTTTTAAATTCTGTCTCTTTTTCGTTTTTTTTTATTCTTATTCTCTTATTATAGTTTTGCTTGTTTCATTTCCTTTCCCAACTTTGATTATGTTACAAAGTGATTAGTTTGCTGAAAAGCAAATGGGAACATATTTGAAATTACTTGTTGTCTTGAGATCCAGAAAACCAATAACTTCTCTACTTTTTGACAAATGTTTACCATTTTCCTTGCTCTCTTTGAGGCATTATGTTTTCACACTCTTTAAAGGTAATACAAAGTTTTGGTATGGGGTCATGAATTTGGTTCAAATGCACATTATTGGAAGCATATGCGATCCTACAATATTCAGTGATCGTTGTCGCGGTTGAATTCGAGCCTAAAGTTATGAAATTATAAATAATAAACTCTTTCAAGGTCAAGATATTAATTAAGCTATAAAACAATGTTGACTTAAATCGACCGATTAGCTATTCCCATTTGGAAATTATATATCACAACTACATATTCTGAGATTTTCATGGTCGCAGCTACTATTGTACGGCCGTAGGCGCTATTTAAAATTCATCAAAAATTTACCGGGAGCACCGTTAAATTTTTATATTCAATTTTTCTCAAAAGCAGCAGTGTTATGGGGGCTAATTTTTCTAGTGGTTATAATACATCTACAGGGGCATCTAAATATATCAAAATTGTAAAGAATCACTATCTACCCAATTTTCAAAATTTCCCAAAACTTTGTATTACCTTTAAGTACAACATTTATTTTATTAACAATTCTAAGAAAGCAAGTATAGTATGTAATCTAAGACACATATCTGTCACTAGAATATATCGATAATCAGCCATTTGTAATGAATCGTATCTTATCACTCTAGCAACTTAATCAGTTGGTCATTTATGATTTGACTCTTGGCAGTGAGTGCTATATATTCTGATTACAATGTATCTCCTTGATTGGCAAATTAATTTATTAATTTTGTGATTATGACATATTCAGGGAACTACAATGTAATCTACATATGTATAGTGTCTGACTAACATCAATTCATGCTTCTAACATATTATCTATCATCCCTTTTCCTGCAGACAGGCAGATTAGATTTCTTTAAAAGTATTATCAAATGATTGAATATCGACAGGTCAACCAGAATAGCCTCATTCCCAGACTTCCTCATCATCCAACTCAAGAAATTCACGTTAGGGGAGGACTGGACGCCCAAGAAACTTGGTAAGTTCTTCAATTCAGCCCTCTTTTTATGTCTTTTTTAGAACGACAACTGAATTTGTAGGACTTCTGTGCTTCATTGTAGTTAGGTAATTTTAAAGATTGTGTCGAAAACAAGGGGTCCTTTGATTTTTATTGCAAGAGCAAAGGTTCCCATTTCTATGCACTCATTCATTTTACACACAGTTCAGATTTTTTAATTGAAAATAGCATTTTGAGGCTTGTGAATAAAAAGTACCGTAATGAATAGGACATTTCTCACAATTTTACTTTGTTTTGTTATTGAATACATATCCCAATGATAGAGATGAATATTTTGCGTCACATGTTTTGTTTTATCAGAATCGCGCAGTAAATACACATCGGGCCTGATAATTTCCGGACTATTAATATTTTTTTAATTTCATGTCATGATTTTTTGTTTCCAAAAGTGGGCAGTCCCTGAGATCAATATAAATCCAGTTAAAAATAAGGGGAGTGAGGTGCCGTTTTTTTCTAAAACCTTGTTGTTTTTCAGGCACTCTAGTCATTCGTAGGTTTTACTGTATCGCTCTTTTGTATTGATTGTAGATGTATCAGTAGACATGCCTGATGAGCTTGACCTGAGCCGCTACCGAGGGAACGGTATACAGCCAGGTGAGACCGAACTACCCGACGGAGATGGACCACCAGAACCAGGTAAGGTCAAGCTTTGATTTGGCAGGAGAAGTTTGTATCGGTCAGAGCCATCTATACACAGATGTAGGCCAATTTGGTTTTACTGGGTCGCAACATGGCGTATATTCATTTGTTTTGTGCTTGCCCAAGAAAGCAGTAGTCACCATGTTGTGTCCGACTCGAACCGGGTTGGCCAAACTCTGTGTATAGATGGCTCTGGTACCGGTACTTTTGTGCCATGTTGGTGTGAAAATGCTAACTTTAATCTCGTTGGTCAGATTATATAAACTTGTTATGGAATAGATGTTGAATATTCAAGATTAAAACGTGATAAAATGTTTGTGCTTGACATAATGAGAGCATAGACACTTAGCGCTTAGAGACTTTAGTGAAAAGCGCTGTTTTATTATTATTATTATTATTATAGACGGCCTTCTTTATACAGCAAACATTACCTTTGCAGGTATGCAAGATTTATAGTGCATGATTTAATGTGGAATTCTACTTAGTCAGTCGTGAGTAAACTGTGATGCATTGAGCATAGAAACTCCCAAGTTTGGCGTTGTAACATATATTTCATGTGAGAAACTAACATCATGTGGAAATAATATCGTCACCAAACATATTTCCATTTACTTCAAGGAATATTCTTTGTAGATCAATAGAGGTTTTGGACATTTAGATAGCATATGTCTGTCTTCAAGTCAGCTGCTCATTGTTTATTAGGGCAGCCTGATATAAGACTAGACAAAGAGAAACTAAACCTAGTCTGTTCATTCAGACCCAGTGATGGCTACTATTTGGGTTGAAATTCCTAGAGATCAAAGGAATTCTAATTAAGGCGTAGCCAGACATTTCCCCTTTTTATTTTATTTTTGTTTTCTCTTTCTATTTTCCTTTGTATGATCTGTTATTCTTCTTTATATTTTTTCCTTCCTTTCTTTTCTTCCTCTCTCTCTCTCTCTCTTTTCTTCCTCTCTCTCTCTCTCTCTTTTCTTCCTCTCTCTCTCTCTCTTTTCTTCCTCTCTCTCTCTTTCTCTTTTTATTATTTTGTATGTTTTCTTTCCTTTCCCAACTTGAGTATGTAATATAGTGATTAGTTTGCTGAAAGGCAAGTGAGTACTTAATTTGAAATTATATGTTTTCTGCTGAGAACCAGACTTGCTCGACAAGAGAGCATAGACACTTTAATAGCGCTTAGAGACTACGGTGAAAAACAATTTATAAGCACCGTTTTTTTATTATTATTACAAACGGCCTTCCTTATACAGGTCGCATTACTTTTGCATGTAAACAAGATTAGCCTACATACCGTATTTGCCGGCGATAAGGCCACAGCGCCGTATAGGCCGCACCGACGATTTTGACATTTAAAAAAAAAAAAAAAAAAAAAAAAATCTTTTGCCAAAGTCCGGATTCGATCTCTTGCGTACAAATGTTGATGTGACTAAAATCACCGCCTTAAACCGCGCGGCCATCCAGCGCTGATACCATACACTGCTGTTTTCTGTGATGTAGTCATTGAAATGGATTGAAAATGGCGACTTCGCGTGCTGAATGTTTCACGGCGGCTCCGTTAAACGGGCCCTTCTTTTACTTTTGCAATGCATTGGCACGAACTTAGATCAAAATCTATCGGCAGATGTTGTTTTTGGAAGTTAATTTTCGTCTTCATGTCAACAATGCAAGATAAAATGTGTGGAAATGTATAGTTATTGTACCGTTCGTAGATCTAGTCCTATATGTACAAATTCGTGCTGGTTTTGATTTTTTTTTTTTTTTTTTTCTGTTTTGCCGTAAACGCCGCACCCCGAATTTTTGATATTTTCTCTTCCAAAAATACTGCGGCCTTTACGCCGGCAAATACCGTAGTTTATCAACATAAAATTTGACAGAAAGAACAAAATTCTGCCCCCCAAAATGTACTAGAAAATGAGTTACCAGGATTATAACCCAATGACGAAATGTGATAGTACATGTACATGTATTTGCCAACTATGGCTAAATCTACTTCTAACAAGCATTTACAATGGATGTAAAACTTGATGTACTTGGGCTCAGTTTTCAGATAGTTTTAAAACTTTAAATGATCTGAATATTTCTGTTTGTTTGTTTGTTAGAACCTGTTATTGATGAGGGCATGGTAAGTCTCCTGGCAGAGATGGGTTTTGCCAAAGAGGGCTGTCGTAAAGCTGTCTACCATACCAAGAACACAGGCACAGATGCTGCTATGAATTGGATTTTTGAACACTCAGCTGATCCAGGTAAGACTTATGTAGTCCTGTTTTGAGATGGGTCTTACAACACATGTAATGTAGTCCTGTTATGAACTGGGTCTTGGAACACTCAGCTGATCCAGGTAAGACTAATGTAGTCCTGCTTTGAGATGGGTCTTACAACACATGTAATGTAGTCCTGTTATGAACTGGGCATTGGAACACTCGGCTGATCCAGGTAAGACTTATGTAGTCCTGTTTTGAGATGGGTCTTACAACACATGTAATGTAGTCCTGTTATGAACCGGGTCTTGGAACACTCAGCTGTTCCAGGTAAGACTAATGTAGTCCCGATATGGACTAGGTCCTCGAACACATGTAATATAGTTCTGTTATGAACTGGGCCTTAGAACAAATGTCTGATGTAGGATAGACTATATAGGGTCCCTGAAAACATGTCTGATCCGGGTAAGACTAATATAGTCCTGCTTTGAGATGGGTCTTACAACACATACAATATAGTCCTGTTATGAACTGGGCCTTGGAACAAATGTCTGATGTAGGATAGACTATATAAAGGGTCTTTGAAAACATGTCTGATTCGGGTAAGACTAATATAGTCCTGCTTTGAGCTTTTTTTTTTTTAACACTTGGTTGATCCAGGTAAGTTTAATATAGTCCTGCTTTAGACTGGGTCTTACAACACATGTAATATAGTCCTGCTATGAACCCGGTCTTAGAACAAATGTAATATAGTCCTGATATGAATTGAGTGTTATTCACATGTGTGATCCTGTTAAGACTGATATAGTCCTGTTATGGAATAGGTCTCAGAAAAAAAATATAGAGTCCCGCTTTGGACTGAGTCCTGTTATGGACTTGGTGGTCCTAGAACACTTGTCTGATCTGGGTAAGACTAATATAGTCCTGCTTTAGACTGGGTCTTGGAACAATGTATGATCCAGGTCAGGTAAGACTCGATATAGTCCTGCTTTGGACTGGATCTTACACTACATGTAATATATAGTCCGGTTATGAAATGGGTCTTTAAAAAAAATGTTTGAAATAGGTTAGACTAATAAAGTCCTGCTATGGACTGGGTCCTTGAAAACATCCCTTGTTATATGCTGCTTGTAAGTGTCGGCTTGCATGGTGATGTAGATATACAGTAGGCTTGCATCCTCTCCAAGCGTTATAGTTCTCCTTAGAACTATAAGCTAAGAAAGATAACAAACAGTCCTTTTTAGGACTACACACCCCCAATAAAGATTACAGAGTCAGAGTCCTTTTCAGGACTCCTCAAACCTCTCTCTCTCTCTCTCACATGGTGCACCCGCAAGCCTACTGTATATCCCTTGTTATATTCTGCACAAAGCCAGCTATTCTACACCTGTCTTTCTGTCATTTTAGCCCAATAATGTAAATAACTTGGATAATCATAAGACCTGCACATGCTTTGTATGCACTTCTTCTATATTTGATCTTTGAATATTTTTTTCCCACCAGATTTTGCAGAGCCATTGCAGCTTGGTCAAGCAAAGAAGAAGCAAAAGACAGAGATTGTAGCGAGCGAGGAAGGGATCATGATGATCATGAGTATGGGTTTCACCAGAGAGCAATCTATCAAGGCGCTTAGAGCAACGGTGAGTAGGATAGAGAGAAGGAATAAAAGAATAGAGGTGTGAAATGGTGGGTGGGTGGGTGGGTGGATGGATGGATGGATGGATGGATGGATGGATGGATGGATGGATGGATGGATGGATGGATGGACGGACTAGAGACCAACAGATGATGATCGATACACGTCTTCATTTCACTGAACGTTGCCTACTATTTTTGCCACCTCTTTAGGACAATAACCTAGAGAGGGCAGCAGACTGGATATTCAGTCATCCAGATGAGCTTCTTGACACACCAATGGAAACTGAACAACCAAGTGGACCCACATGTCGGGATGGTAATGGAAGTAAGTGTTATTTCTGAGTGATTTTAAAGTGCAAATTCAAAGAAAAGCACAAATATGTCAATTAATGTATCACTAGAAACTGGTAAGCTAACAGATGGCCATCGTACAAGTTTTAGGTCTAACTACATATTGGGTGATTTATAAAAATACAAATACAACCACCTCCATAGCATTTGGGATATACAAGAGATGTTTTAATGACGTCACATCATGGACCAATACTGCCCAAGCAGACGACATCCCATAAAGAATGAACATTATTGCAAAGCGATTATTTCGAATGTTTCCAAGCATTGAATTTGATAACCTTGTCGAATCAAAGTTTCAACTTTGCAATAATGAAAATAAAGTTAGTTTTTAAAATCAATGAATATCTACTTTAAACAATTTCTCATTGCTCACTTTTGTGGGGTGTTATGGTTTGTAAAAACTTCACTGGAAGTTGTACTAATGGGTTGTTTCCACCACTGCATAATGTCAGATGTCCCATTTTTGTGAAGTTCATATTGTACATGTGAGATAAAGATGACTTTTAAGAATTTGTTGGGTAGGGGTCTGACTATGGGAAGGGGGTGATTGTAAGAACTCCTTAAAGAGAAGGTTGAGTTCTGGGAAGAGGTGAAAAATAATTAGTGAGCATTACTCATTCTTATTATGCAAGTGTGGAAGAACATCAGTTAAGACATGTTCCCTGAAAAGCATTGCTCTTCAAATGCCTTCATATTCTAAATATGCATGTAACATCGTAAAAATCGGGGGCCGGCTTTTTACGCCACGTGTTCGTGTAGTCCCATATACATCTTTCTGTGTACAGTGTTTGTAACTTTACCAAGACTTGGCCACATTTCTTATCATTTTGATGATTCCAGAACCTTGCAATACACACAAATTCTTATATGCTAGATGATCAACCTTTTCTGGTCGGTTCCACACCGTTTCTTTCACAATACAATCGCATGACCAGAACTCAACTTCATCTTTAAATACAGTTTGAATTGACTGATCATAAATGTGAGAACATTACTTTACTAAAAGAAGAAAAAGAGGAGGAGGAGGAGGAGAAGGAGAAGGAGAAGAAGAAGAAGAGGAGAAGGGAGAAAAAGAGAAGAAGAGGAGAGGGAGGAAAGAGAAGAAGAAAATGGTATCAGCTAACAATTTTCTTTTTTTTAAAGTAACATCAAAGTAATTTGCAAAGTCCCATTTCAGAGATATTAAAACTGTAGGCTTTAACCTTTCAATTGAATATCAAATATTTTGGCCACAGTGTCCAAAGTCCCTTAGGCAAGATTATTTATTGTATTTGCATATTCCCATTCTTTTAAAGATGAAGTTGAGTTCTGGTCATGCGATTGCATTGCGAAAGAAACGGTGTGGAATCGACCAGAAAAGGTTGATCATCTAGCACATAAGAATTTGTGTGTATTGCAAGGTTCTGGAATCATCAAAATGATAAGAAATTTGGCCAAGTCTTGGTAAAGTTACAAACACTGTACACAGAAAGATGTATATTGGACTACACAAACACGTGGCGATTTTTATGAGTGTTACATGACATATTTAGAATATGAAGGCATTTGAAGAGCCATGCTTTTCAGGGAACATGTCTTATCTGATGTTCTTCCACACTTGCATAATACGAATGATAACGCTCACAAATTATTTTTCACCTCTTCCAAGAACTCAACCTTCTCTTTAAAGGGAGTGGGTAGTCAGTTTCCATGTGCAGAAGGTCGTAATTCGCTGACACCAGACTTGGTGGAAATACCATTAATGGGAGTACAAATCTGCACACAGCAAACCCGTTGGCCAGTCAAGAATTACCCCCTAGTCTCTCGGAGCATGCTCGGTGACTTCTCGGGCGAAGGAAAAGCAAAGCATTACATAAGGTCTAATGGTCATAAAACTCAAGGCTAACCCTGGTGATTGACAACACCTGTTATTGGGTAAACACCCGAACGGTGTCGAATTCCCCATGAGAGCTGACTTCTATGTGACTTTAAGTTTGGCAACAATGTATTTTTTAATCATTTAAATACATTTCTGTGCTTTTTTAACCGACAGAATACCAACTGTTTGCTTTTGTGAGTCACATGGGGACATCTACAGCATGTGGTCACTATGTGTGCCATATCAAGAAAGAAGGAAGGTAATTTATAACATTCAGCGTCTTCTAGTTTTAATATATTGTAACAAATCATCTAAGTTTCAAGCTAAATTACTATAACATAGTAAGTTACAAGATATATTTTTCATTACATCGTAGCTGTTACTTCTTGTCATCATCTATTTGACGTATCAATTTGGCAATCACAAAGAGAAAAAATACGCTATGAAAAGAGATTGTCAAATTTTTGATAAAAGGAGTCCTTTTTTTTCTAATTTATTTGCTTTCCATCCGTGTCATGTCATTTTGGATTTCAAATATTTTTACAGAATGCTTTATTTTTAAGGCAATTAACATTAAAAGGAAATGCCTAGCAATATGGATTAACTACCCCAAGAGGGCAGATACTACCCCCCCCCCCCCCTCCCCTCACTGGAAAACTACACCCTTGCAAACACCCTTAATTTTGACATAGATAGGTGTTATAAATGTCATTTTGAGGATTTTTTTCAAAGGATATTGGTACCCCACGCTCTGCCAGAGGGGAGAGGGGGTAGGAAGATGTACTGTTACACATGTTTCTTTACTTCTGACATAAATAAAATGTGATACTAACTTCCTCCTTTTTTCTTAAAAAAAAACAACTCTTTGGCATGTCATTAACATGTGCTATTGTTATGTTTCTACCTTTCTTCAGATGTTTTTACTTTTTTTCTTCTTCAGATGTTTCTACGTTAAAAACCGATCTGTTTTTATTTTGATTTTCAGATGGGTGATCTTCAATGATGACAAGGTTGCGCAATCGGAGAAACCTCCCAAGGACCTAGGTTACATCTACTTCTACAAGAGGCTGAACTGAATCTTCCACAGCTGTGAGATATAGTGATCAACAAATAGCCTCAGGGTAGCATCAGTGCCATTTACGGGCAGACAAACAGAAACTAATATCAGAAAACACACTTTTATTTGACGTAATGAATCACTTAGTCATGATGTGGTCTATGCACCTAAAAAACAGCTGAAGCAAAAGAAAAATCATTTTGCTTGGAAATGAACGGCAAGTGGGAATAGGATTTTGTAGCGCTTGTTTAAAGCGATTTACTGCATCATTTTGGAACGAGACTTAAAGATTATAGGTCATAGTTGCAGGCTTCTTAGCAAGATTTGTTGATGGTTCCAATTGAGTCTCCTTTCAAAGAAAACTGACAAATTAAGGTCGGAGAGCCACACAAGGGCGTCATCTGACAAAGTCAAATTCAAATTGTTTATTGAAATGGAATCCACAATTTTGGATTATTTCAATACCAAAGTTAATAAAAAATGAATATATAACATATCGAAATATTTTACAAAGTAAACACTGAAAAGGCATCAATTACACACAGGCAATATACCATTTCTAAATGAAAAGCAATTACAAATGAATCATTGAAAATATACTAAAAATCAATATAATTACAAAAGGACAATCATATACATAGTTTGAGGTTGTCTAGTACTTACTAGTAATTACAAAAGATTAATCAAATGGTTCAAATGAATGGTCAAATTTTAAATCATCGTTGAAACTAGCAAATAAATGAAAAAAGAAACAAAATAGTAGCGTGAAAATCCTGAAATATCATTGAGGGTAAAAAATGTTGACATCCTGCCAAATTCTTCTTACTTTTACAAATAAATGTGACAGAGAATGGAGTTCCTTGATCAGGGATGCCAGTTTCAGGCTATAGCCTGATTTCAGTCAACAATTTCCCAAATTCCTGACAAAATGCCCTCCTTACCCCATTCTGCAATTTCATATAAATACCCTCGTTTTATTCATTTCCCAATGGTAATGTAGTTTGTGATAGGGTTTACAAGGAAATCTGTTGATAACCAAGATTGAATATTAGTCATGATTATTACAACGATCGTGACCTAGATCAATGGTCAATGACAGGTCATGTAGTCTGTTGGATAAAGCGCTGCAGTGTGCATCACAAAATGCGGGGTTCGAATTACTGCCACTGCACTATTAAACAACCCGTTTGCAAGAAATCTGTAGAGTTTTCTTGCATTAATTAATTTGAAGAAAATATGCTCAGAATTTCAGAAATTTAGGATATTCCATCTTGCTTTCATCGTAATATTAGAGGAGAATGAAAGTAAATTGACTAGATTGGACAGTAAATACTCAAGATTACCTTATATCAGACATTGTACACACATCTGCACTGTACCTCAACAGTACAACAATTCACCTGACGGTGGCCTGTACTGCAACTAAAGAAGAAGAAGACATTTATCTGGGCAATTCCACGATTAATGAGAAACAAAAAAATCCAAAACGTTTCTCTTTTATGCCTAAGACAGTTGAAATTGGTATTCCATCTCTTGATTGATTAGGGATCAATTTTCTATTTTACTTTGAATTTGCTTCACTTAAAATCATTAGGCTACTTGACTTTAAGATATTATGTGCCATTAAACAGGCATTTCACTGAAACTCAGTAAACGTGTATGAGCATAAACAGAATAAGATTGTTACAAGTGATGTTCCTTTTAATTTCATTTGAACTGTCAACTTCCATATGCCACGTCGCAAAAAACTGTTTTTTTCAAATATTTGTAATTCTTAATAGTTTAACCTGCATGTCTTTCCCCGTAGAGCCCTCTGTAAGCATGTTATGTGAAGAATTCAAGTATATGTAAGTTGTATTTAGTGTCTGCAACTTTTGCAAGAAGATTTTCTTTGGGTATTGTAGACAGCTAGACTAATGTTTAATGAGATTATTATATGTATGTGAAATACATTGGAAACATTGCTGCTTGATGAATTTTGTATATTTTTCAATAATTTTGATGCATTAAATGCAGTACACAACATGTGACCATCAGCTCCTTGTGTTCTTTGTTTTTATGATGTTCAATTTTGGAGAAAGTGGAGAGAGAGAGAGAGAGAGAGGATAGGGAAGAAAGAAGAGACAAAGGGAGAGGGAGAGGGAGACAGAAAAGGGAAGGTGAACAAAGAGATAGAGACAGGAAGGTGGAGCAAGGGGGAGGGAGGGGAAAGATAGGTGGAGAGAGGTAAAAAGAAGGGGGTAGGTGGAGAGACTGAGGCAAGAGAGTAAGGGAGACAGAAAGGGGAAGTTGAACAAAGAGATGGAGACAGGAAGGTGGAGAGAGGGAGAGGGGGATGGAGGGGAAAGATCAAAGGTGGAGAGAAGGAGAAAAGGATGGAAGGGGGAAGGTGGAGAGGAAGAGGGGTAGAAAGATGGAGGCAAGAGAGGAAGGGAGACGGAAACGGGGAAGGTGAACAAAGAGATGGAGATAGAGGGGGATGGAGGGGAAAGATAGAAGGTGGAGAGAGGTAAAAAAAAGGAGGGGGAAGGTGGAGAGACAGAGGTAGAAAGACGGAGGCGAGAGAGGAATGGAGACGGAAAAGGGGAAGGTGAACAAAGAGATGGAGATAGAGGAAGGTGGAGAGGGGAGAGATAGAAGGTGGAGAGAGGTAAAACAGGAGGGGGAAGGTGGAGAGACAGAGGTAGAAAGACGGAGGCGAGAGAGGAAAGGAGACGGAAAAGGGGAAGGTGAACAAAGAGATGGAGATAGAGGAAGGTGGAGAGGGGAGAGATAGAAGGTGGAGAGAGGTAAAAAAGGAGGGGGAAGGTGGAGAGACAGAGGTAGAAAGACGGAGGCGAGAGAGGAATGGAGACAGAAAAGGGGAAGGTGAACAAAGATGGAGACAGAGGAAGGTGAAGAGAGGTAGAAAGAAAGGGGAGAAAAAGATGGGATAATGGAAGGGGAAAAGTAGAGAGAGAGGTAGAAAGACGGAGGCGAGAGAAGAAAGGGAGAGGGAGACAGAAAATAGGTGAACAAAGAGATATAGACAGGAAGGTGGAGAGAGAGGGGAGGGAGGGGAGACAGAGATAGAAAGACGGAAAGATAGAAGGTGGATTGAGGTAGAAAGAAAAGGGGGAGAAAAAGAGGGGAAGGTGGAGAGAGAGAGGTAGAACGACGGAGGCGAGAGAGAGAGGAAGGGAGAGGGAGACAGAAAGGAGGTGAATAAAGAGATATATAGACAGGAAGGTGGAGAGAGAGGGGAGAGGGAGGGGAAGATAGAAAGCTTGTATTTTCCTAGTCTTTTATCTGGGGACATCGTTCCTGATTCGTTCTCCCGTAGTCATAAAATTCTCTGTCTTTATTTCTTCTTTAAAGAACGATAATGTAGATGTTTATCTTCATAAAGGTAAATAAAAGATTTGCCGGTTGTAAGTACATCTTGCAACTTAAAGATAGAGTATAGTGTTCTGGTTATGCGATCACATTGTGAAAGAAACGGTGTGGTTTTATTATAAGAAAAATCGTGAGACAGAAAAATCATGAGACAAACAACATTATCACGTAGCATATATTAAGATATTGGTGTGTACTACAAGGTTCTGGAATCATTAAACTAGCCTACATTAAACTGATGAGAAATTTGGCCGAGTCTAATTGGCAAAGTAACAAACACTGTACACAGAAAGATGTATATGGGACTTGACAAACATGTGGCATAAAAATGAGTTCCGATTTAAGCTGTTACACATACGAAGGCATTTGAAGAGCCACGCTTTTCAGGGAACATTTTTTCTCTGATGTTAATTCTTTCACACTTGCATAATAACAATGAAAATGCTCACAAATTACATTTCACCTCTCACCATCAGTGGCGGATCCAGGGGGGGGGGGGGCCAGGGAGCCCGGCCCCACCCCCCCCCCCCTTGAGAAAAAAAATCATGTAAAAACACGTGATTTTTTACCTTTTTGGGGGGTTGGCCCCCCCACCCCCCTGGCGCTCAAGGGGGGGGGGGGTGCAAATTCTTAAATTGACGATCAGAAAAAATAAGTGCTCTCACTACCCCCCCCCTCCCCCCCCCCCCCCCCCCCCCCCCCCCCCCCCCCCACTGAGCGACTTTTCGGCCGGCGCGATTTTCAAATTTTCGGGACCAAAAAAAAAAGTGTCCTCTTTCTCCCTTTTTTTTTCTTTCTTCTTTACTTCCTCTTTTTCCTTCTCAATTTTTTTGCGCCGCCAATAGGGGGGGGGGGGGGGCGCGGCCGTTTCGGCCCACCCCTGGATCCGCCACTGCAACATCATGATGTTCAAAGTTGAAGTGCATTCGCGATATCTATTCAGGCCAGATCGATATGATATTTGAACAAATATGTCAATTAGAAGGCGGTTTCCCGGCAAAATTTGTATCATCACGTATTAGTCAAAACATATTCTTTCACATGATTGGTAATAAGAGCTTCCATTTCATTTTTTGAGAGGGGGGGGGGGGGGTTCCAAATATGCACCATTTTTCAAGTTTTCCCCAAATCAAAGATTTAAAAACAAGAAACCTTTGAGTAAAGTTCCCGGATTTGTTTAGACAAAGTGCATCTTTATCTTTGTGGTGGGATACAGGGGCGTCGCTAAAGGGGTGGGTGCGACACCCCCACCTGTCAGGATATTGTCGCTAAAATTGCACTGCTGTCGGGAAAAATGAGAAAATGGTGAGAGGGGGGAAATCATAGAGAGGGAAATGGAAAGAAAAGAAGAAAAAAGGAAAGGAAAATAAAGGAAAGAAAGGAAAGAGAAGAGAAGAAAGAAAGAGAAAAGAGAAAAAGAGGAAGGAGAGGAACGAAAGGAAAGGAATGAAAAGAAAGAAAAGGAGAAGGGGGAAGAGAAAAAGGAAACAAAAGAAACGAGGGATGGAAGAGAGGAGAGAAGAGAGAGAGAGGAGGTGCCGGGGTAACTCGGGTAAGAGCCTGAAAGAAGAGGGGTGGGTATAAGAGAGAGAGAGAGAGAGAGAGAGAGAGAGAGAGAGAGAGAGAGAGAGGGGTGTTGGGTGGAGTCGCCACGTCGACGGAGCAAGAAAGATACGCAGAGATATGTTGCTGTGTCGGGTCCGCTGTTTCGGTATTCTTGCTCGATCCTCGTGTACTATCCAGTGCGTCCCAGAAAAAACGAAACCGAGAATTATCGATGTTTGAGTTTGATCATAACTTAATCACAATTATAATTAATAAATGACACATATTTGGAAAGCTTAGATCCTCCTCTTTCATTTGATGCTACTCATGATTTATATCTCACGCATTAGTGATTAAAATCAATTTGAAGAGAGGAAACCAAAAGTCATTTGGCGGGCGGTATCTGAATTTCAAGGAGAAAATCACATTTCTAGAAAGTTCAATTTTTTTCTCTTTCATATGACACCTCAATCAGAAAAATGAGCCAGGAATAACAAAGTTCTGTTTGTTTAAAGATACTATGTCCCTTTTGCAGCCAACCTCAAATTCTGTAGAACTTTGCAGGAATTATGAATATGTCATGTATATCCTATCTGTGAAATTTAAACGTTAGCAGTGTCCTTATATTCAAATTATGCAAGGAAACCCGTTTATTTGCTAGACTTCACTGTCACACACTATTGTCAGTATTGACCAGGCGCATACGCAGGGGGGGGGGGGGGGGGTTGTGGTTAACCCCCCCCCCATTGAGTTTTTTTTTTATGTGTATGTTTTATGTATGTTTTATGTATGTTTTTTTGGGAAAAAAAATATGCCAATGGCTGACCTAAAAAAGGTGACCTTACCCCCCCCCCCCTCCCTAACGGAACAAAATGTCAAATTTTCAAATTTCGAGACCAAAAAAGAGAGAAAAAAGTGTCCTCTTACCCCCCCCCCCCCCCCCCCCCCCCTTGAAAAAATTCTGCTTACGCCACTGGTATTGAGTGACTGATTGGCTTTTTCTTCTTCTTTGGTAATAACGTACATAAAATGAGCTGTAAAGGATTTGTCTACTACAATAACCCACTTCTTTTAATGGCCAAAATTAAACTGATTGAATCTTTGCGCAGCATAAAACGTACGACCATGCGCTACAATGGTCAGAAAATCAAGACTATTACTTATCGGCTCTATTGCTCCTAAGTCGATTCGACAACTAATAGTCGTTATTTTCTAACTTAAAGACATTTTCAAGCCCCATTTTTTTAAGGGAGTTCTAAATTAGTATTATCTTTCTAATGCCATTGGAGTTTAACCTTTTCATTTTTTGGGCCTGCAAAAGGGACATAGTAACTTGAAAGTAATGCTTGCATTTCCATAATTTGATCAAACGAGTTCGTTTTCACTGGCTACCTGCAGTAGCAACAAACAGAGTTGACAAAAGACTTAACTCCGTTTCGTTGAAGATCAGCCATGCATCAGGTCTTATAAGTTTGAAGTCGGTGAGATGTATTTTGTCGGTCAGCCGCCAATTTTTTTCCCCTATATACGAACCGTGACTTTTCATTGGGCCAAGAAACATTTTTGAAAATCCAGACAATGATGAAGGTCGAGAACGGTACAACGAGTCGTCTTCTTTCTCAAATATGTAATGAAACGTCAAAGCTTCGGCGCTTCGCGCGGAAAGGGGGGGGGGGGGAGGGTAAACAACCCCCTCCCTGCACCACCCCCTAAGGAGCGCGCTTCGCGTGCTCACTACCGCCCTCCCATAAAATGAAATACTAGCCACGCGCCTGATAGTTCATGGGAAAATTATTTAGCCCCTGGCTCCGGGTTTATTGGGTTAAATTTGTAGACAATGGGACATTGGGCATATTTTGTCGGTAAGCGGCGGCTAGTTTTGTCGGTAACCGGTGGCCTGTACACCCTCCCACTGAAAAGGGTCTAGCGACGCCCCTGCTTGCAAGCCCCTTTGAAAACCTGCAGGACTTACGAACAAGGTCTGCAATCTTGATTCCTTTTGTTCGCCAAGGGATGATCCTCTCGAAGGGATAGAAATCTTAGAACCTAAAGTATTATGTAATACTAAGTATATTAAGGACTTTCAGTTTACCAATCACAATAACCAGCCATCGAT